TGTTACTACTTGTGTTCCCTAACACATACTAGGTATACGCAAAGTGCGCAGAGTATGCCTCGCGCAGTAAATAATTGCGTAAGGATGATAAATAGAATGGGCATAAAGTATTGCCAACACAAAAAAATACCGCGTGCCATGCTATCGGTCGCCGTCCACGCGCAATTGCACAAGCAGCCAGCTTGATGTGCGGGCACCAGCCTTCAGGCCGGCAGTTCACTTCTCTACTGTAGAGGAGACGACGCCCGAGGTCCACGCGGTGGCAACAGATCCCAGTGGAGCTAGACTCTACGCGAGACAGCACTTCCCCTTTATCTGAACACACACCCCCTCGGAGTGAAGCCGCGGTGACCTCATCATTCGTGTGTCGATCCCACGCGCAATTGCACACGCCCCCTGGCCCCACCCGCGCATGCGTAGAAGAGCGTGACGGACAAACATACACTGACCGAGCGCGTGCTGCACAATTAGTAGTGCTGCACAACAAGTAGTATATACATGTAAACATGTGAGTGTATAAGTGTTACTAGAAGGAATGCAACCATACTAGGGGACATTCTTGGAGAGTGAAGCGAGCATTTCAATATTTCGCACGTTTTAGCGCTAAACATTATGGTATGTAGGTCCATTCGATAAATAAATAAATAAACACATAATATATATATAAAATGGAAAAATTCCACCTTCAGATGCCTATGTAGGTAGGCTCGCTTCGCTCCCCAATTAATTGATGAGTGAGTGCGAAAATCACGTGGAACATTATGGTATGCAATGCCCATCACTCACTGCTGACTCACATTCATTCAGACGACTAGGTAGGCTCACTTCGCTCATCAATTACATACCAATCACAATCTGTACGTGAGGTTTGGCAATCCCCACAGCCTTTGTTTCTCTAGCTCTATAGAGCCAGCGGGATAAGTATTTCCAGCTGGGATAAGGACGATAGAGAGCATAGTACTTCCCAGCCTCAGCAGTGACTTGATCACGATCACTGAACTTCTCACGGAAGAGAGCATCCCTGGCATTTGGTACTGTACTGTAGCCAGAATGAAAGCCTGGAATACGAATCTCCCCCCAGTCTCCAGATATGGCAGTAAAGACTGGTATGAGGAGGTGTGGATTGAGGGATGGATCTGAGGAGAGGACCAGCCACATATCATCAATTGAAACTAATCTATTCCCAAACGTTAATAATGTTAAGAGCATGTGTAAAGTGCATATCAACGCTGCATGCGCGATCTTTGCACCGAGGGTGCCTTAATTTATTATACTTCAGTGCTTTTTGTTTCCAGCAAAACCTATTATAATGCTGAGGGAGAGTCAAGGAAGAAGGCTACTTCAAGACAGTTCTACAAATCTAGTCTTCAACATGTCACATGATCAGGGGTTCATTTAGGGTGGTGGTAGCTAGCCTGTGTCAGACTCTCTGTGAGCTACTAGCAGGAGACCACAAGTAAACGCATATAATAGCCTAGCCCATCAATTAAATTAGCGGTACCACCATGAAAAATACACCATGTGATGCCAAGAGAAAAAAGATGAGGAGCTCTGGACAGCTGTTTCGGGCTTGTTGGCCCTCATCAGCAGAGCATACCACAACTTCTCTCTCTGGCACCACAGTTTATAAAGGCTAAGTTGAGCGCAGCACTTGTGGTTTTGAACTAATGAGATTCATCCCCACAAGGCTCTGCTCAGGCGCAGCGCTTGTGGTTCTGAACTAATGAGATTCATCCCCACAAGGCTTTGCCAGTACCAGCCAAAACCCGAACTCAAAATACTGACAACGGATGCGCAGTTCGCCGAGGGTTTGCACTTTAGTGCTTTCTAACCCTCGGCGCTCATGCGCAGCGAGGGTTACAGTAGTTAGTTTGTCTGTCTGTCTGTGTGTGTGTGTGTGTGTCTGTGTGTCGATGCTTATTCTGGCACTACAGGCTACGAGGCGGTCCATTAGCGATACCAGCACCTTCAGAACTACACGAGCCTGAAAAATAAAAGGGTGATTTTCCTGAAACGACTGCGCTCGAGAGATATGCCGTGAAAACAAGCGAAAAAGGCAATATGCACAATCGCACTGGGCTTGCCGCGACCTGATCTGCTCGCTTTGTGTACCTTGGGGGCTCAGGAAGTCACGAAGAATGGCATGTATCGACTCCTGCATGCTATCTACCACTGTAGCTAGCCCGTGTCAGATTCTCCGCGAGTTACTAGCGGGAGACCACGAGTATACGCATACAAATAGCCCAGCCCATCAATTAGCAGTATCGCGCATGCGCAGTTCGCCGAGGGTTTGCACTTTAGTGCTTTTCATTTTTACAGTTATTGATGCTAGAAAAATGAAGAGTGCAAACCCTCGGCGAACTGTGCTTGCGTGATACTGCTAATTTATGGGCTGGGATTAGTAGTACATATGCGTTTACTCGTGGTCTCCCGCTAGTAGCTCGCAGAGAGTCTGACACGGGCTAGGTACAGTAGTAGATAGCATGCGGGAGTCGATACACGCCCACACGCCCTTCGTTGTGACTTCTTGTGCCTTCAAGATACACAGAGCGAGCGGACCTGGTCGAGGTAAGCCTGTGCTAATTAGCATATTGGCTTGTTCACTTGGTTTTCACGCCATAACTTTTGAACGCAGTATATACTTGTACAAAAATCGCCATTTTAAAAATGAAGCCAGTGTAGCGCTAAACCTGTTGGCGTTGCTTTTTGGCCGGTTTGTTGCGCATGGTGGCAGAAAACATGGTAGCAGACACACGCACAGACCAAGTATTGTAACCCTCACTGCGCATGCGCACTTCTCTAGTCACTAGAAAGACCCTGAGATTACACCAGAAGCAATCTCAGAGCATGTAAAAAACAACAATTTCCTGGGGGAGCCAGCTACTTGCCGTGTGCTTCAAACACACAGATACAGCTTTGCCCCCCCCCCCCCTTTATTTCACAATTACTCATTTTGTCCCCTTGGATCGAATTCTAAATGAACCCCTGATGATGTACACACAGCTCATGCTGTGGTGGGTTTCAATATAGCCAGAGGTATACAATTGACTGGCTGTGTTGTGTTCTCTATTGTAGCCATACCTGCTGGGGGCTCTGCATACTCCATCAATGAGTCTGCTAGAGCTGTGTCTCCAATCTTGTCCAGATTGAATATCATGTCTCTCATTTTCATTGGATCTGTACTCTGTACATAGTACTCTACTGCACTGTCAACATCTCTCTTATCATAAGGGATGGAGAGACGGTCGCAGAGGTAACTGAGGGCACTGGTGTTCTCAAAGACCTTCCTGAGTGTGGCTTTACTTGGAGGGAGTGCTGCGAGGAAAGGCAATGACATCATCACTAACTAACACAACTTCATCGAACATTTACAAGATCTTTTTCGATATGGCTAGTGATGACGTCATACAAAACTAAAATTACTCATCTCTCTTAACCTATCAGACAATACCATCATCATCATCATTCACTGGGCAGTCAATAACCTAACAGTTTTTTTATTTCCTCTGTGTGGGGTGCGCGGCTCGCGGCGACTGTCTTTACGTTTCTTCCACGTCCAGACTTGGTCCCCTTCGCCTTTGAACTTCTTGTCTCCCTCTTGCTTGCCTTCTCCCTGCAGTTCCTGTCTCTTTCTCTTGGCTCCAGTTCTTATTACTGCCTCCCCATCACCAGTAGCCATCTGAGTCACGCTGTACTACTGTGTCGTCAGTGGTCGACCTCGTCGATCGAAAGCGGGCCTTGACTGTCGGAAAACAAAACTCAGACGTGCGAGAAATGCAGAGCAAAGGGCGTGGCTGTTAGAATCACGTGATTTGTAAACAATACGTACGTGTGCGCGCACGCGCAATGAGACAATAGGATCGAAGTCACGAAGAGGAGAGGAGAGGAGAGTTTTGGTCAGTCTCAGTTGTGGGACTACTGGATTTGCCAGTACCTTGTTCACCAGCTGGGAGAGGAGATGAGAGAGAGAGCAAGAGAGGGGGAGAAAGGTACAGAGATAATGAACGGGGAGGAGTATTAATTTTCAATTTATGCATTCTTGTCATTCTTGAGTAAATTGTGTTAATTGCACCTCTGTACATGTTTTTCGTTGAATTCTACTCTGTGTACTGCGTTCCTGGTGATAATTTTGAGTGACCCATTGTATATTCAATGAGCCATAATGCATGCATTGACGAGTTGAAAAAATTTGTTTATAGGGGGGATCTATAAATAGGCACCCGCGATATAAACATTTTTTTAACTAACTAGACACTCATGATTATCATTGCAAAATTTGAAATGTCTGCCACTATTATCACTCAAGAAAACATTTAGGTGACATGTATAATAATTATTATACCTTATGAAGAAGAAGATGATGACGAAAATCGTGAAATCGCGTATGAGCGAATCCCGCCTGGAGAACTGAGGGCACGTAGGAAGTCTTGGGGCATACGTATAGCTAGGTATTGGCCTGAGACTATTGCTAGTGATTTAGGGAGTCATTTTCGCCAAGTTTTGAGGTGTTTTGTACGCGGATCACGTGAGATTTGACTTGTACCATCCCAAATAGAGCGTCTACTGACAGAAAGGCAAGGCAAACAAGTGAACTACACCCAGGACAGCTCTTTCTTTAGAAGAAGAGCTGCCCAGGGTGGGATTCGAACCCACGACAATCCAAGCCTGAAGACTTGCTGACAATGCAATACCATGCAGGTTTGGGAGCATTTCAAACCTTCATACTTACCAAAGGGCAAAAAAGTGAAGGATTGTAGCTCTGAGACACACAAATAGAGTACGTTGCTCCCAAGTGCCCTAGTCCTAACGTCACTCCAGGAGAGTGCCCTAGTCCTAACGTCACTCCAGGAGAGTGTCCTAGTCCTAACGTCACTCCAGGAGACTTCGAGATCAAGAGACTCAGCCGCTGTCTACTCCACGGAAGCGCCGTCCGCCCTCTCTTGGAGGCATACCTAATATTCACCCCCCCCAGAAAGACTGCTGGCCATGAACAATTAGTATAGCCAATTCTGCATGTGGAAACGTGTCCACAAGCTGGATGTATATTGGCCGTACGGCCTCAAAAAATCACATTCCTTTGGGTCGCTCTTAATTATTGCGTTCGCGTTAATTGGATCGCTTTTGGTCTTCCCCTCCATGGCCACAGGCACTAATCTGGCGTAGCCACACCCCTCACTATGACAGTGTGCATGCGCGATTCAAGAACGAGATTCTTCCAGTTGCTACGCTCCCATACCCATTATTCCCATTCCGTGGATATTCGGATTTCTTGGCCAAGAAAAACAAGGAAACATTAGCAAACAACAAAGTTCTATACATACACAGATGGCTGACTATAATATAGCACAATGTAAATTGTTCCTACTGAAGTGCAAAAAATGAGGCAGTGATATAATTACAAAATGAAATCTTGAAACTGTAATTATTATAAGATGACATGACAATATGTCTGACTGAATGGGAAAAAAGCTTGTCGCTAATTATTTAGAACAAGCCAAAAACTGATGATTGATGCAATGGTGCCATGGAAACAAAACGTCATGTGATGCCACATACATTTAACACTACACGTACATGATGATAGAGACCTCTCACAGACAATTGGTCACATGACCATCACATGACATCAATGAAATACTCGCACGGGTTGTCAAGAGCTTCCTGAAAACTTTCTCGACTGGCCCCCAGGTTTCCTGGAATTCCTAGCCCCCCACCACGGGCCCCCTCGCTTCGCAGACTGATCCTATCGGGGGGCATAGCTGGGTGCCCCATGCGTAAATTTTGCTGCGAGACACTCGTGAAACCGCTAGACGTACTCAGCGAGTGTTTCATCCGCATAACGGGGTACGGATGCACCGCCGCCCCGTTTACAGGGTTGTTGTTTGTGTTGCTGTTGTTGCCGGGCGACTCGGCACCGGGGGGCGGGGCTGCGGCTAGGAATTGGTTCATGCGTGCGGCAGTTTGTGGGTGTGCGGGGGTGAGGTTGTGAGGGGAGAGCTGGTGCGGTCCGGATCCGGAACCAGTCCCTGCACAGCTACTGCCCGAGGAGCCGCTGTGGCGAGCGGCAGCTGCCTTGTTTTCTGCTGAGGGAGGGAGGGAGGGTAGGAGGGTAGGGAGAAGGGGGTGGGGGTAGGAAGTTTAAACAAGGACGTAAGATTGTGCCGGCCTATAATATACCTGGAGATGGTGAGTTTGACTTGCTAGAGGTTGAGGGAGGCTGAGTGGGGCCTTTCGTGAAGAAGTCGTGGGCTGCCAGTGAAAATTCCCCGTCGGAGGACCCCCACATATTGGCCCCCGGGAGGGGTCCCAGGGTGTCCTCACCCGAGTCTCCACTGAGGTGGAGGTTAGTTAGCTCTGTGTGTTGAAAAATGAGGGAGGGGATTACATTTTCGAAATACTGAATGAGGCTTTTTCAATCGGTGAAGTATGTCGCAACATTCTTACTTTGGGACCTGTATGTGCACAGTTGTACTATGTATATAGCCTTGTAGAGCTGAGGCGTCGTGCCACGGACATAGAAATAGATTCTATCCTCGCATTGCAATGTATTGTGAACCTAGCCTAAGTCACATGTTGAAAAAATGGCAAGCGAATTTAATGGTGATACTTTGGAAAACTGTATTGGTGGTGTCTGGACGATGAACGTATGGTGTACCTGATGGGAGAGAGTTTGCAGCTGCCTTGAAGTCACCAAAGATGTAGTAACATTGTTCGGAGAACGTTATCTTGTTGACCGTGTGACGAATGAAGCCATGCTGAAGAGGGAAGGGGGGAGGGCAAAAACAAAAGTAACATTATAATGGTAGCCGACCATGCGTGTAAGCTTATCAAAGGTTACATGACATATCTCTAAATCTATCGGATTACATACTGAGACATTCTGCACTTAAAACCATACAAAAATGTATCCAATAGTGGTACGCACGTACCTTTATCATTAGAGTGAGCCCCTACCATTATGTAGCCCCTACCATTATGTATGTATGTATGTATGTATGTATGTATATAGTATTGTACTATGTGTCCCTTTAGCATCAGGTCGGCAACTGTACATACATGTATATACAGACATACATGTATATACAGGCATACGTATAATATAGTGTTTGATTGTACCTTGAGCATCAGAGCGGCGTACTTCCTCGAATGTCTCCTGTCGATGAAGCCGTCCACGTTTGTATGCAACCAATCGACAAGGTCGGACCCTGTGTAAATCAGCAGTAATTGATTCCGGACACACACACATATGGTTTCAGTTTCGATATACTTAAGTGGATATCGGCTTCAGTGGGAGACAGCCTAATGTTGCGCAAGGGGACAATCGGCTCCCTTGTAGATGATCCTAATTAAAGCACACCTATTACTACTTGGAGGTCGGTCTCCTGAAATCGTGCGTTTCTACCGATGTTGCTGAATTTCACTTTCACTTAGCCTCCAACAGAAGACGTGGTGAGTAATGCGAGAAAGCACTGTATGGCTAGCGTCACATTGGGCCATGCCGCATCGCGAGGATGAGATTAATTTTATGTCCTCGTGGCATTGTGCGACACGGTAGTGCAATGTAGTATGAACCCAGCCTATAGTGCCCGACAGCATAAACTTCCAAAATGACATTTTTGCAATGTGGAGTTAAATTTTTTTGTAGTAAAATATCACGCACTTGTAACTATAACCAATAAAAGACTTCTTTTACAAGAAGAAATGAGATTCATTTTATGTCCTTGTGGCATTGTGCGACACGGTAATGCAATGTAGTATGAACCCAGCCTATAACTAACCAATGAAAGACTTTGGTATGGTCATCTTGAGCCACACGCGGTCCTTCACCTCCAGGCCAGAGGTGGGATTACACAACATCTTGGCGATGCGGTACATCGGAGTGGTGATCGTGAGTCTCGCAGCCTCACGTCTCCGATTCCGGTACGGAACTGGTCACGCTGGGGGAGGAGTTTGAGGTCATTGTACTGAGAGTCGGGCTCCCGGTGAACGGACGACCGTAGGAATACTCTGCCGTGGAGAGAGAGAGAGATGTTATAGAGTTTTCCCAAGCAATTCACGACAAATGATTCACGAACGATAAGTGAGCGTGTACCATATCCCTGCACAGCCTACTCTTTCTAATACATTTTCTTTCTTCTTGTGAAAGTGTGAGCTATTTATGCATGGCAGCACGTCTTTTTAAATAAATGGTAGAGGCCTTAAAGTCCTTTTGATAACACAATGCAACATACAGTCCAATGGTCTTAAACATAAATCTTTAATATTTCTCTAACTACTACACAGGAGGGAATGAGACAATATACAGACAAAAGAGAGGCAGAATGATGACAGACCTTGCATCTGATTGGTCTGTTGGACCCAGGCTGACGGATCAATCGGCCGAATCGGCTCCACTGGGAACACAAAAACAAGCAATAATCATCAAAGTCTTCACAATCTTTACACAATCTACAGTTCTACATTCTTGCTGTGCATGTGAGGCATACAACTTACGCGACATGCAACATGATCTTTACACAATCTACAGGGATCATATCTCTACATGTAACAGTGTATGTGGAGACGTACTTCTCGGCTCAAAGTGTGGTACGACGGGCTCCGGCTCCCAGCACTTGGCCACGGTGAGAGTGATGGGACCTGGCTGCTGGACTATCTCCCTCAGTGCCTTGACTGCGTCGTCGTTACTCATGTTCTCAAATGATATCTCGTTCACCTGTAGGAGGGGGGGGAGCAAGAGGAGAAGAGGGTGGGGGTTACAATTGTACTATATAGTAATGTTTGTGTTTTTCATTCGTCGAGATCTTCTCACAGGTGGGGAGAAGGGGTAAAGGGGGACGTAAGGGAAGGTGGGAGTGTGAAGTATGTAAATCAACTGCAGAGTATTCCTCTCCAAAAATGTTTGCACGCTCAAAAAACTTGAAAATTGCAACCCCCCGGTTTCCCATTAGACCACACCCACTAGCCACACCCACCTCCAGCAGCATGTCTCCGGGCTCAATCCTCCCGTCAGCCGCTACTGCTCCTCTGAAGACAGACAGAGATAAAAGGAAAATGGAGCCATTTTAGTAATTAAAAAAACTGTTTTTGTGACGATCTGTCCTAGGTGTAGTTCTGTAGTATTATATGAGGAGTGATTAAACCCCCCAACCCTGAAAATAGTCTTGCCCCCTCTTCCCTCCTTTCTTCAAAATCTCTGTGTCTCACCCTTTCATGACGGATCCAACGAAGATGCCACCGGCACCATCTTCACTTGTCTGACCCACGATACTTATCCCCAGGAAATTAACTGTGTCTGCAGGGAGGGAGAGAGAAATAAAGACAGGAGAAGGAAGGAAGGAGGGGGGGAGAAAGAGAGGAGAGGAAGGAAGGAGGGGGAGAGAAAGAAAGAGAGGAGAGGAAGGAAGGAGGGAGAGAGAAAGGGGGAAGAGAGGAGAGGAAGGAAGGAGGGAGAGAGAAAGGGGGAAGAGAGGAGAGGAAGGAAGGAGGGAGAGAGAAAGGGGGAAGAGAGGAGAGGAAGGAAGGAGGGGGGAGGAGGAGAGAGAAATCTGCAATCCAACACAACGGACCGTAGTTGCCGTGAAGACGCTCGCATACAAATAAGGCAACGCTGTTGAAGGCATCACAAGGATGCCTTGGCGCTATACCCTCACAACATACAATACGACATGGCACAAGGCGCTCGCTAAATGACCTTGTAGCATCCAAATTTTGGCACACGCCACGCATCCTTAAAATCAATCCACACGCATCATTCACTACATACTGAGCACATACAGTTACCACCGGATCTAAACCAAGTGTCCTTTATAGAGAAAGTGTTCTTTATTTGGAGCGTCTTTTCCACACACATGTTTAAGTCAATAATTGACTAAAGTCAAGGTAATAAATGCAATGGACACGTCTTGACTACATTGACACCTGCCAGAATGCTAACAACTGCTCGCTTGCTCTGTAAAAATTCCAGTAATGCGTGGTCAAGCTTTCGTGGTAATAGTGCACAAATACCTTTGAAGTACCGTTGTTTTGTGTAGAGTGTGCTCTAAATGAAGCTGGAGAGTGTGCTTTAAATGGAAGTTGAATGGTGTGCTCTAAATGGAAGCTGGAGAGTGTGCTCTAAATGGAAGTTGAATAGTGTGCTCTAAACGGAAGCTGGAGAGTGTGCTCTAAATGAAGCTGGAGAGTGTGCTTTAAATGGAAGTTGAATGGTGTGCTCTAAATGAAGCTGGAGAGTGTGATTTAAATGGAAGTTGAATGGTGTGCTCTAAATGGAAGCTGGAGAGTGTGCTCTAAATGGGAGTTGAATAGTGTGCTCTAAACTGAAGCTGGAGTGTGCTCTAAATGGAAGTTGAATAGTGTGCTCTAAACGGAAGCTGGAGAGTGTGCTCTAAATGGAAGTATTGGTAGCTTACCCATGTTGAGTGTGACCTGTACAATCTGCATTGATGCATTACTGACACTTGTAGCCGTCATTGTGCTCATTGACATGCTCTGAGATGAGGGGTAAGAGAGAAAGAACAGAGAGTGAATGAGGGAGGAGAAAGGGAAAGAATGAACGAGAAGTAGTGTGAAGTCGATATGCAGTACCATCTAAAATCGTAGTGATAGAAGGCACCGAATAAAGTCCAACTCACCCTTTTCGGCGGCCTGTGTTTGGTCAAAATTTTTCTTCTCGGCTGGAGCGAAGTGAGCGTGCTGGCACTCACTCGACTACAAAAGAAGGGGAAACACACACAAGTATCACATTTTGTGCAAATGTGTGTTTTACAGTTAGAATGTGCTGTTCTCATGTCATTTGGAGCACGTTTAAACAGTTATGGTCAGGTATTTAAACTACTTGTCGGCCATTGCACATTCGCAGTACCATTAAATTGAATGCAGGATTGCTTTTTTTGACGGGTGCAGGTATATTATACTAGCTTACTTCAATATGAACCTGACAGTATACAGTAAGTTCAATATGTACCTGACAGTATACAGTAAGTTCAATATGTACCTGACAGTATACAGTAAGTTCAATATGTACCTGACAGTATACAGTAAGTTCAATATGTACCTGGCAGTATACAGTAAGTTCAATATGTACCTGACAGTATACAGTAAGTTCAATATGTACCTGACAGTATACAGTAAGTTCAATATGTACCTGACAGTATACAGTAAGTTCAATATGTACCTGACAGTATACAGTAAGTTCAATATGTACCTGACAGTATCAGAAGTGTCAGCCACACTCTCCAAGTCAGTTGTTGTGTAAGAGGCACTGGTGAACTCTGTCTGACTGTCAAAGTCAGTCCCCGACATGGCCGACTCGTCGCCAGCGTTACCGACACGATGTCGTCGCCGTTGTCGCGGGTGTCCGTGGGAACGGTGGTGGTGTCTGTGCGGCTTGTATCGCCGTGACGACCGGGACACTGCAGACAGGCATTGCATCATCATTAAACACCTATCATTACATCATTTTACATCATCACTTAATCGTCAAACACCAATACATCAAATTTCATTGCTATACAAACCTCATAATAATCGAAAACTAATTACCCTACTGTTTATCAAATAACCATTACATCATTATTACATCATAATCATACCTAACGAGACGTCATCTCCATCTCTTTCTTTCCTATAACAATAAGAGAGTGATCTTTGTATGTGGCGAATTGTACATGTATACAATACATGTCTCAACAACTTGGTAACGAGGTAGAAAGGCAAGGCAAGGCAAACAAGTCAACTACACCCAGGACAGCTTCTTTCTTTTCCAAGAAAAGAAGAAGAGCTGCCCTGGGTGGGATTCGAACCCACGGCACTCTGCAGTATAGGCGAGCGCTCTACCAACTGAGCTACCAGGGCAACTCAGCTGGTAGGGGTTCGAATCTACAACACACACAACACAAGGAAAGGCACATGTACATGTACATGTAAAAGCAAGCTATACCGGTACATGTACATAAGTACACACATATCTCTACTTTGGGTATGACATCATCGTGAAGTCTCATGCAACTTGCAAATGTATGGGTATAATAGGCCATGCAACAAAGTTGCGTAGTGCATGAGTAGAAATGAGGGACTGACGTGGAATCGAGTTTCTCTTTGGAGCCTCCGGTATCGGAACCTGACTGACTGCCTTGCTCTCCAGTTACCACCTGTGGTGTGACGATGGGAGAAGTGTATGTATGTACATATAACCAGTTTTAGAATCCAGTCACACGGGTTTTAAGATAGCCGTGTGGAAGAGAGGTAGAGAGAGGGAGAATGAACCACGTCACAGACGAGTTAAAAACCGGTTTGAGAAATGGGAAGAGGGAAAGGAAGGAGAGAGGAGAAGGAAGGAAGAGCACAAACCCAGCAAACGACTCTGCCATTGACGTTTGGTAGAGACATGTCATCGCTAGCAATCTCTTCTTTGACGGTTCTAGAGAGAGAGAGAGGGGGGGGGGGGGGAGAAAGGGATAAAGAAAAGATAAAGGGTGGGAACGAGACGGACGAAATGTTGAAGAGAGCCATGTATACATACACATATGGCTTTAACGCACCACTACATGTACACAATACACCTATATACAAGTACAACACACAGTTGTACACACACACATACATACTGTACATGTGCACCAAATAAGCAGTGCCCTCAGCTCCACAAACACACCGGTAGGCAAGATAAGAGGCTCAGGATCTGGCTGTGACTACTTACAACCACCAGCAAAGGAGACGACTTTCTCTTTGATGTCTTTGAAGTGGCCTAGCGACAGGCAAAACTCACACACTAGTGTAGCCACACTCAGGAAATTCCTGGCATTTTATGGTGTGCACAGCGGAAAGGGTGTTCAGTTTATATTGTATATATGGGCAGTGGCCTAGGTAGTGAGTATACATAGAGACTTGGATTGGTAAGAAATTGCTCTCTCTAGACTGCGTAAAAACAGCTAGTAACAGCTTAAGTTATAAACTAATCCAGCGGCGGCCGTTTGAAAGGGATTAATGGCCAGGGGTTAAAGGGTTTTAATAAATTCAACATGATAGTAGTACACTCACAAGATATTGAGGCATACTAGTGAAGTACAGTGGAACCCCCTTCACCAAGGACACCCCTGAAATGAGGACACCAGTCTAAAGAGGACACCATTTCTTTCCCGCAAAACAGTTCTTGAAATGAGGAATCCCTCACTAACGTGGACAGTTTCCTCTGTCCCATTGATGTCTGGATTAGAGAGGTTCCACTGTATAATGCTCAGGACACCTCACTTATATGGACACTTTCTTCTGTTCCATTGGTATCCAGATTAGAGAGGTTCCACTGTATAATGCTCAGGACACCTCACTAATACGGACACTTTCTTCTGTCCCACTGGTGTCTGGATTAGAGAGGTTCCACTGTATAATGCTCAGGACACCTCACTTATATGGACACTTTCTTCTGTTCCATTGGTGTCCAGATTAGAGAGGTTCCACTGTATAATGCTCAGGACACCTCACTAATACGGACACTTTCTTCCGTACCACTGGTGTCTGGATTAGAGCGAGGGGTTGCCACTGTGCACGGTTCTAAGGCACTATAGTCTGTGTGGGAGCAATCAGTGTATGTGGTTTTGGCAGACCTCTTGGTGTATACAAAGGTGGGGTCACCGAGCTATTGGCCACATTACAAACGAGGAATTGAGGCAGCTAAATCACTCACACACACACACACACATGTGTGTGTTCACTAAATATCTCTCCCGAAGCTTTGTACAACATACAGAACCCATAGCGAGTTCATTGGCTACGTGCACTGTGTGATAATTATTAGTACGTACGTAATCATCGTGCCTGAAAAAACGTATTTACTAAATCTTGTGACTTGTGCAAAGTGCTGGTGCGGCACCGTTTTCCCCACGCAACATGCACACATGTAAAACTAGTGTGCATCAATTAGAGTTCATACCTGTAACTACCGAGTTAGGCAGCTTGTCGGTAATATCTGAAGTGCCCACAGTTTTAACACTTAGCCAGCCACCGACACATAAATGTGTCCAGAGACTCCATAAGTCCATAAGAATTTATATGAGGGTTATAATACTAGGCGCTAATACTTTATACATCAAATTATGCTTATTTAAGCACATCCCCATGGCGTCCAAAGTAAGGTTCCACTCTTTACCGTGAGTAGCTCGTTCGTAAGTATGATAACGAGATTGGCCTTATTCGATACAGATGCCACGTTTGTAACTTAGTGACCACATCAAAGGAACGGCCAGCTTTCATGTCTCTCATATACGTGGCCTTTTCCACCAGCCCAGCTAGTAAATTGTGTGTAGCCCAGCTAGTAAATTGTGTGTACACACACATCCATGACACATCAGTGGACTAGAGTCAGTAGTTCTAGAGTGTCCCTTGCATCCTAAGATTTCCAGGTAAGTGTGCCCGTTGCATCCTGACTTTGAAGGGATTTGTGAGGTGTGTATGCCAGTTATGTCCTGACTTTGAAGGGATTGAGAGGTAGTTACATCGTGGGAAGTGGAACTGTATATCCTGCCTTGCGAGTGACGTTCATTGTACAGTATGAACATACACACACACCACAGTACCAGCGGATTGATAAAATCCATCGCTAAGCCTCTAGCACGTTGAAGAAAGTATACGAACTGTTCGTTTTTGCTGGAATTATTATATCAGCTTTCTTATCATGTTAAACTATAGCGGACTTCGTAGGAACTTTTACTATAATATACACATCGACCATGTTCCACGTACTACCTCCCCACAGCATGTGGCTAATGAGGAACTGTAGGAAGAACGGGACATGTTCCACATACTACCTCCCCACAGCATGTGGCTAATGAGGAACTGTAGGAAGAACGGGACATGTTCCACGTACTAACCCCCACAGCATGTGGCTAATGAGGAACTGTAGGAACTTCAACTTATACATCGACTGAACGGGACATGTTCCACGTACTACCCCCACAGCATGTGGCTAATGAGGAACTGTAGGAAGAACGGGACATGTTCCACGTACTACCTCCCACAGCATGTGGCTAATGAGGAACTGTAAGAACTTCAACTTATACATCGACTGAACGGGACATGTTCCACGTACTAACCCCCACAGCATGTGGCTAATAAGGAACTGTAAGAACTTCAACTTATACATCGAATGAACGGGACATGTTCCACGTACTACCCCCACAGCATGTGGCTAATGAGGAACTGTAAGACTCAACTATACATCGACTGAACGGGACATGTTCCACGTACTACCTTCCCACAGCAAGTGGCTAATGAGGAACTGTAGGAAGAACGGGACATGTTCCACGTACTACCTCCCCACAGCAGTGGCCAATGAGGAACTGTAGGAACTGACTTATCTCGACTGACCGGGACATGTTCCACGTACTACCCCCCACAGCATGTGGCTAATAAGGAACTGTAAGAACTTCAACTTATACATCGACTGAACGGGACATGTTCCACGTACTACCTCCCACAGCGAGTGGCTAATGAGGAAGAAGTACGTTTCCAGCGGCTTGTTATGGCATCCCGTGATTTGGTAAATTTGTGGCATATGCTGGATCTTAGCTCACGAACCACACCAAGGCCGCCTGCCGCTCTAGGTTCACCACATCCTGATTACAGGGGGCCTCTTCCGCGAGTGTACATTACTACCGCAGAGATATTGGCCAATGCAGGGATATTGGCCAATGTGATTGGGTAACATACTGAATTTCTGAACTTCGTTTTCACCATTATCTGTTATTGACAGTGTATTAGACGGTAACTAACTGTACTACCTGTCTACGAACACCCGCCTCGGAGACTATAACTGAGTTATACACTGCCTCACAAAATTTGGTGGATACGAATGCAAAACGCCCCTCATTTCTCCCATTATTTCTGAAGCATGCACACAAAGCTTCTTCTCTTATACCCTACCCTTTCTCTCCCTCTTCCTCTCCCTACACCTCTTCTCATTTTCTCAAAGTCGTCTAAACTCCCCCCCCCTTAACTCCCGTACGTAGACAGTACACATATCAATCACAGTACATTGCGCAATACAAATCTCCACAAGCATCTGGTGTAGCAGCCAAGATACTGACGCAATAAACCACACACGTTGGCTACAAGTTGGAAAAGCCGTCGCCAACCATGTACCTTGGGGGGTGGGGGGGAGGGCGGTTGAATTGTGATTGGTCAGCGTCATGACAACACATGGGGATACACAGAATGTAAAAATGAAATGGCACTAATAGTTCACTCACTCCTCGCGACAAAAGCTATGGTATATATGTACTCCACTTCATGCAGCTGTTCACAGACAATGTCTCGTGCACAATAATATTATACTGTCCCAAAGGCTGAGCTGACACTATACATTATGTACCTAATGCAAGCTGCCCCTATTTCTCATGCACAATCTGCACGGGGGCACAGGTGAGACCATCGAAGCAGGTATAATGCATACACAGTATAATGAAATCAAACAGTACTACATAGGGAATTTTAGTTGAGAGCGTTGATTTGGACAACAAGTTAATCAGGAAACTTTGCCATTTCATATCAGGACAACTAACCAATCAGGACACTTGGTCATTTCGGATTAGGACAACAAGCTAATCAGGACACCACCTAAGCCAACCGTGTACCGATAACATGCTTTCCAATGTTACATAACATAAACCAGCAGCACTAAGCAACCGTCCCACCAAAAAACACATGAAAGACTTCGTCGCCACAAGCCAGGCCATCGTATTAGCAGGAATCCCTCGAGTGCACAGAGAAATCTTAGTGAAACATGAACAGGACACATTTTCACGAATAGTTACGTAACACTTCTCGTGTGTAAAGAGATACTATAGAGTGAATTACTGCCTCCTACAGACTTACGCTCAGTTTAAAATTATATATAGTTCGGAGTTTAGTATGTACTGTATGATAGGTACAGTAAACCAGTTTGCTTGTGTTGGTTGGTTAACTTTCTTGTCCTAAAATTGTATGTAAACCAGTTCAAAGGAGAGTTTTAAGACGCCTCTCTGCATCAGTACACAGCAAGCACGCAGCAGAGAGAGAAAAACACAATAGTAGAGCGATTTTTTTAGCAGAGAAGAGAAAACTAGCAAAGGACTGTATCTCCATCTGTGATTATACTAGCAAGCAAGCAACAAGGCAATCAACGAAATTCCTATTTGCTACATACTTCATTTTCTACATCCACAGTTTCCCACCCACTCTAACTGTAACGTAAAACGCTAAAAAAATAGCAACAACTCACCCGATGTCGTCGTCCGTCGATCGAAAATAGAACTTCTTGTACGGTCTGTTGAGCTGAGCCTTGAAATCTTTGAGAGTTACTTTACTCGGGCTTTCCATGATTTTCATCATGTACGGCGTGTCTTCGTCGTCGATGTAGTATATGACCTTCGTTTCTTCCATGGCTGCTGTTTTTTTCCAGAATTTTTACGGGACTACCAACAAAAATTGAGTCACTCCCACGATGCTTTGTTCAAAAGATAAGTGGATAAAAGTGGTCGAAATTTTTCCAGATTTTTCTTTGAGTAGGGAACACTCAGGTGTAGAATTAACAGGCAAAAGGAAGACAAAAAATGGTACGGGAGTATCAAAAGATGACCTCTTTCACGTCCAAAAAAAGACGTTTTTTTTCAAGGCGACCTGCTTCAAAAATTGCCGGATTGACAGATATTATATAGAAAGTCGGAAGTTGGCAGTTCTATACTTGCCGAGTGTGTGCTGTAGTGACTGATTCTGGTTTCCGCGAAGGTGTTCTGGGCAGGCAGGGACCACTTATTGTGTCGCTAAGGCCTCGACAAATGAGTGCCCATTCACCTATTGAGGTAGGTGTAGATTGAACTGCACTGTCTCTCAAATTGTTGGAGCAGACAGTGTAAGGCACCTTTTGATGTAGTTTATCATGGCGAGTGTGGGGTAGAAGGAGCCAGGAACGGGAGAAAGGGAGAAATAGGAGGTAAACTAATTATTATTACAGCCAGGTACTATTATACTCGTGTATAAACAGATACGAAAGGCATATTCATGCATGTGTGTATACACACGCCGCACGCTGTACCATGCAGCACAAGCAGGCGCACGCTGCTATAGCTAGCTTTGCCCGGCTCTGTCTTTTCTCTTTATCTACATGAACACGTACACAGTAGCGCACGCACCGAGCTAGGTACCAAAACGTACGCCATCTGAGGCTACACACACATAAAACAAACTCATATTCACGCCCGCATCTCGCAGCTACCAAAGCGGCCGACCATCAGTTTTTCACACAGTCAGTAGATCGCACTCCCATTCACAACCATTTCACTCAACTCACCCTCTGCTCAGAGTCTTCTAGTGTGAACGGTAGGTCGCAGCGAGATAGTACACCAGTCACGGGAGAGGGGTTAGATGGAGCCCGCTCACTCGATCAGTCTGTTCTGTTTGTTCTTCGGCACGCCGGCGGCGTACGGGACCGCTTCTACAATCCACTAACGCTACACTAAAACACGATCTTCTTTCTCACGCCTTTACTCCCTCCGTGCCCGGATACGCACAGCGTCTTTTCAGTACGGCAAGAGAAACTGCGACACAGCACACACTCTCACAGAAATGCAATTATTTACACGTCCGGGATAATTGGCGCTCACGTGACCCGACTGGCGGGAAATTCAAAGACTTTACCAGCTGTTCCCTCATCACAAAAGCCCGCTTTTACATGCTGAAGGAAGAGAGAAGGAACTTGCGCGTGAGCCACCTCACAGGATGTCTATAGTCCGGACAGGGAAAGATAGAGAGTCCTACACAGAGGGCTTGGACCATATTCTCAGCAACACAGGTCACTGCTTAAAAAAATTGTCTAGCTCTTTCTTTGTTGTGATGCTGTGTTAATTGTATGCTGCTGCGACACAAGGCAAAGATAAACCCTTTGCATGGTGGTCCATAGAACTACGTGTGTACCCTATTTGACACTGCACACAGAGTTCGAGACGTCGCAGCAGGAACAACAGATTCAAAATGAACTGGACAAGATAAAAGGTCAGCCAAAAAGTGGTTCAGCATGTGTGTAAAATATTTGTAGATGTACGAAATTTTAGCGGGCTGTGCACATTGCATGTTAGTGACGCACATGTATACGAAATTTCCCCCTTCAAAAATATCCTGCTATATATAGGTTATGGATTCTGATCATGAGTTCATGAGTCGGGTGGTATATATAGGGGGGGAAGTTCCTGCCATTAACGTGACATTATGTAGCTTGCGTTAAACCAATAGTGTTCACACACTACCATTGAGCTGTAGTGGCTAAGTGGCCTACAATAAATCTGCACTTAGCCCTCTGTGTCTTCAATAAAAGACCTACACTCCTGCCCTAAATCTCCATGCCTTCATCAACTCATGCCCATCATCTACTGAAGACCTTTGTCTGCCCTAGAGAGCTGTATACCCCATCACCATGGATTCAGTTTACGAATGAGCTGTTTGTGTGTCTATTTAATAGGTTTTCAACAGCTTTAAAAACCTTTTAGATATATCCATAGTGACGGCCAATCATCTAGCATAGACTTTTGTCTGCCCTGAGAACCGTACACCGTGGATGCAATGTACTAATGAGCTGTTAGTGTGTCTAGCTTTCAAAACCTTCTACATATCTCCATAGCCCCCCTTCACTTGGTGCATTAGCTGTGTAAGTGGTGTCACAAGGAGAAAGAAAGCCAGGCATAATTATTAGTGGGTTCCAATTCTGCCTCGCGAAAGCAGTATGCTAAGCAAATTGAGGGGCCACTAGAGTTAAGGAGTTTCAATTAGCAAAATCTACAGATGGCTTCAAAACCGTGACTTTATCAATATTGTTCTCCTATTTTCCCCCCACAATGTGATGTTGCGTGACGTCTCTTTGCAGCACACGAGAAAGAGATTGAGGAGAAAGAGAAGGAGATTGAAGACTTTGTCAGAGTCGCTGCAGACATGGAATCCAGGAAAGAAAAGGCCCTCAAGCAGCTCCTACTAAACCGGGACAACATCACAAGGTATACACACATTTTCAAAGTTGGCACACATGCTGCATATGCTTTCAAAATCTTTTAGCACTTGGTTTTATGATAACTTTTAAAACTCTACTGTTGTTTGCAAACAGTCTGAAACACACAGTGGCGGTACTCAACGAACATCTTGAAGCTCTCGGCAAGAAATACGAGACAATGGTACAGAAGACTGTGGATACAAGGTGACTTGGTGTGTGTGTGTGTGTGTCCGTGTATATGATAGCTATGACGTATATATGATAGCTATTTGCTCAGTTTCTTGTCTTTCGCCACATGTTGCTCAATTAGAATGCTCTTCTAGCAACTTTGATGCCATGTTCCCTCGTGTATGATCCAGTGAGAGGGGCGCCTACCCCCCGAGCTTTTTTCCAAGAGTTGCCAGTTTACTTGGCCAAACACCCACAGTTTACACAGAACTTGGGTCTGTACGTAAGGTCGCTCTTCTCTCCATACTTTAGTCTGCAGTATAATTCTGCCGTGGAGAAGTATGCAGAAAAGTGGGAGCGATTCCAGAGTACTTACAACGACATGCCAAAGGCCAGGGAGCTGACAGGCAAGCAGGAAACATTGAAAGAGATCAAAGGAAAAGGTACGAAACTATACGTTATGTGGCCGTATAACATGACCTGCACACAAAGTGTGTGTCTATGTGTGATGGTGTATATTACCATATGTGGTTGCCCCTATAGAGGCGGGACTGGATGCCAAGATAGCTGACGTCGAGAAGGCTCTCGGTGCCACGAAGCCAGAAGGTATATGAGAGTTGCGTATAATGTGAGAGTAAAACCCTACTAATTAGGAGGCTAAGTGGATAGCACTGTTGGCAAGGGAGAGGGAATATGTGTGCCCAATATTAGGATCCAGAGCTGTTTATTTATAGTGGATATCCCAGCTCTGTGTCCACTTATTGGGGCTCTATTCTATACCCATGCCCACAAGGAGGGATCTGTGTCTCATTACATTGGAGTCAGGTGTCGCTCTACCAAGAACACCCATTCTGTTGATACTAGGCTCTATGGCAGTGTATGGCAATGTATGGCAGTGAAAGGACAATACACTTTGTTAAACACAGGCCGGCTATTCACCGTTAAATCTATACCCCCACAGGCTGGGATGCCACTGTGCAGTGGGTGCTTCAGATGTAAGTGCACCCACTCTCTCTCTCTCTCTCTCCCTCTCTCTCTCTCTCTCTCTCTCTTCTCTTCTCTCTCTCTCTCTCTTTCTCTCATTTTATAGTTGTCTTTTCCACTTGATTAAGGGTGCTCCTGGCGGTATTACTCCACTTAAAATCCCTTTCCCTACTGCTAATCTAAGCAATGCTAGCTGCTACTTACTGCTGCATGATATGGATGGGTAGCAGACCACAAACCAGACTCGATGCTTATACAAAGTATGGCCGTGTGTGCACGCAGCAGCTGAATGGAAGTTGTGCTATGCCTCATTAGTCTCACAGCTGTTTACTAAGTACACACAAGGCCCCAGCCTAGACACCGAGCTTTGAATTCATGCGAAATGCACACATATGTAAAACACACACTTTCACACACCAACGAGATGCTCATAACATCTACAGAGCCACTGTTCGGGTGGAAACAGAAGCCATTCGTCGGCTAATAAGCTCCACCGGGCTGGCCAGTAGACAGGCACAGCAGGAATTGAGAGGCTCCAAGGGAATAGGGGGAACGTCAGTCGGAAAACAGGGGAGAGATGATCAGATGGTGGTGGAGACAGAGGGAGAGAGGGAGGGAGAGGAGAAAGGAGAAGAGGGGGAAACAGGAGTTAGTAAGCCAGGCAACATCACAGGGATGGTTGATACACATGTTGAACCAATGGATGTTGGTAGTGACCTAGCCCCCGCGGATCATGATCAAACGCTAGACACAAGCCCTCCACAGCAAGTACCATCAGCCAACACAAGAAGCAATACGATCCCCCACGAGAAACCTAACAAAGGAGCGGGTGAGGGGAGAGGGCCCAAGGAGGCGAACGAACAGATTGGCCAGCGGAAGGGATTGGGTGACTTTGTCAGACCAAATGCTCCCCCGTCGCGGTTCACACCACCCAACAAACAGCAACCAGCCAGTGCATCAAGCTCCGTGAATACCCTTACACAAACACCGTCTTTAGTGTACACAAAACCGTCCATTCCGATGAAATCGACAGAAAGGACTCCTTCGATCCTCCCTCCTTATCGATTACAGAGCCCCAGACCCCCTGTTCCACCCTCCCCGAGACCCCAAGCCGCCCTCTCCTTCTCTTCCTCCCACCACTAGACCAACCACAAGATCGATACCCAAACTCCCACAGTTTTCCTTCCGTCTCCCAACCAGTGGAGGGACCTCGACATCTGTGTCTCCTGGACTGCCAGACACTACCGGGAGACTGCACCTACTACCGCCAGAAAAGGAGGCGATAAGACACCAAACGCTGACAAAGACCCAACACTTACACCACCTCCCTCTGTGAATAGAGCGTCTACTGCCACGAGTGTGTCGGCTGGGCCGAGGTCACAGTACCGACTGACGATGCCACCAAAACCAACTCCTCCGTCCGTCCGTCCACCCCCAACCACTATTAGTGGAAACTCAACTCCCCTGCCAATGAAGACATTTTCCCTTCCTAACCAGCCCAACAAACCCATTCAGTCAAAACAACCTGTTCATCTGGTAGGAACCACTTCCCAACAAAGTCATTCCAAACAGTCGGTGCAACCTACCAATCCAACCAAAAAGTCAATTTCCCGTCCGCTGGCAATCGATAAAGGTTTTCCTGCTGTGTTGACTGCTCCTAATCCACAGGTCGGTCGCTGCCTTGACCTCCAGGAACCACAGAAATCGTACGAGGCACCTGGGCAGACATCAAACGGCGGTGGACAAAATTACCACCCAGAGGAAGAAGCACAGAGGATCCCCGTACAACTGGAGGATATGGAATTAGGGGAGGGGGAGCAGATGGGAGGAGAGGGAGAAGAAGAAATGGGCGCTGGAAGAGAATCCACTTTCAATCTCACTACGACCAGTATCAACTTTGGCGAGGAGCAGAGCGTGGATTTCGAAGGGAGCGGCGACCAGCTACAGATTTTTGGCGTGCAGCAGTATGATCCTAACGCGGTGAGAGATGAACCACAATAAGGCTTCAATTACACAGGGGTTCCCCATTAGAATCGTCTCTCATTCCCTGTCCTTTTATGTACAATGCAGCTGAACGTGTCACAAACAGAAGGCTTCTTCAGTAACAACGAATCACAGTCTGGTATATAAGGCATCTCCTTATTAATGTCTAACACGCATAGAATCTCTCCCACAGGTGAAAGCTATGGCTTTATGACACTGAATGATGGGGGCGACCAGTCATCATCTCAAGGTGACTTTTTCAGTCAGTTTGGAAAAGCAACCACACCATCAGGAGGAGAAGGTATATATGCACGTATAACCTGCATACGGCTAAGTTTTTTCCTACTAAAAACAGGTGGTGGTTTTCTCTTCTAAGAAACGCTGGTATATATCACCCTGGATACAAACATGGTATATGGTATATGGTATTATATTACTACTGTGTCGACTGTAAAGATAAGAGTATGCAACCTGACGTCAAAACCATGCGGGATAATAAATTTTGTCGAAAGCTAAATGTGATGGTGATTTGATGGTGATAATACAGCTGTAATTATGATGATGATAATGATGATGATGATAGTATAAAAAATATAATTCACCCGTGTATATACTAAAATACACACATCATATGAACCATACGCGAAGAGATGTAGGCACAGAACCAGATGCGAGAACAGTGTGGCGCCAATGCTGGTTAATGACGACTCGACCCCCATCCACATTGGCAATTAGCTCCAGTCTGAGGCCAGGGAACCAGCAGCTCGTGAGAAAATCGAGATTGTGCGTTGCAAACTCCAGGACGCTCGGGCAAACCTGTGCGAGCGAATCTTCGGAGAACGGGAGACGAAGTTCGCGTTTCGTATTCAGCTTTGTCGAGATCTCGATGAGCGTGCTGATATTGTCGGACTGTAAGTATTCCACGTCTTCTCCCATGATGTGTTGTATGTGGGAGCATATGGGGGAGGGAGGGTAGGATTTGAGAGAAACGCCCGCACATGCGGGACACACTTGCTCGTGGTTTGACTGAACGTGAATCGATATCGATGTTTGGTGTTTCGACACAACGAGATGGTGTCGAGGACCGAGCCTCAGGTGTGCCGAGCAGTAAAACAGCTTCGGGACATACCGGCCGCTTCGTATGCACCGTACGACAAACTGGTTGTACACTGCGATTGGAAACGCCGCCGACCCGCTGGAAAAGTGCAAAACTGCCACCGAGGCGGAGGGATTGCCCGTGCCCATCGCTCCAAGGGTGAGCAGCGAGTCTGTCAACGGTTGGGTCACGAGGCAGGGGATGTAGAGCGATGCAGATTCGTGGCACGACGGATGGCAGCAGATGAGGTCCATGCAGTTGAGAATGAAGAGCGTCTCACTCCAGTACCTCTGGTGCATCCGTCCGCAGCGATATGCGAGCAGGAGCATCTCCTTCGTGATGATGCCCTCTTGTGACAACTTTGTGAAAGCCACCTGTACTTCAGTTGTGACCCACTTGCTGCTGGGCGAAGAGGCGATGACGGACGACAGTGCGTCTGCAAGCCACTGTGGCTTGGTGATGACAATGTTGCTCAGGAGCGGGTGCCGGTAGAAGTACAATATGATTCCGACGTCGTGGAAATGGGAGAGAATCGGGAGGAACTGTAACGTTCCCGTCACGTTGCAGTGCTCCGCGACGTAGCGCGTGAGATCGTCGTACAAGATGATTATCTTTTTCTGCTCTTGAAGCCCGTAAATGAGCTGCTCAAACTTGACCCACTGAATTGGGACGATGTCGCGACAGAAGGGCATCTGGCGAGCGAGGTGGTCAATTTCCCTGCGCAGTAAGTGGTGTCCGGCGTAATCCTCCTCTCCCTCGTTTTCAAACTTGCTACTGATGATCAGAGCACTCGGTTCGTTGCTCTCCACGAGGTGTTTACGGTAGGAGCTGAAAGAAGGACGACCAAAGAAGCGGTGGAAATTAATAGGATTCTCCCTCACGTTGTCGTCGTCGGAAAACGAGCAGGCGAGTATGACGGGGGGGTAAAACTGGAGTGGCGTTGCAGCAGCGAAACGGAACGGACGGCGTCGGCTTGCAGAAGGCATTGACGTACCCTAACCATTCCTCGAGGGCTTCGGCATTTGTAGGGATTCGCCCGTCTACATCACGGAGGTTCTTTGAGGCATAGCTCTCACAGGGGTCGTCCAGATCTCGAGTGAGGTTGTACATCGAGACAAAGAGGCAGCGGTGGGAGAAGAAAAACGGAGTAAAGTTGTGCTGAAGTGGGTCACCGGAGACGTCCCACACCGTGATCATGAGTCTCTTCCGGTTGAGCTCGGTGCGACTCACCACCGCTTGCTCGTCGCCGACCGGCCATCTTATCACCATTCTCTTCAGAATCTCCCGCGGGATATTCTCAACGAGGAGCCGCGAGAGCTCGCCCTTTGCCCGAAAGAAAGACTCGCCGATGTCTGACAGGCTATCCCTGTTCCCCGTCAATTTGCCGGCGTCGCTCGGCTGTCGAGAAGCAGACGAAACGCCTGAGCTGTTTAGATCTGAACTCACCCTCGAGCCGTGGGAATTCCTCCTGGGAGGACGCAAATGGCGGTTTCTCTTCAAACTGTCGCTACTGCTGCGGCTTGCACGTGTCGACTTTTGTCGAGACCTTCCAGAGCCACTAGTCGACTCAATGGAAGAAGAGGCGGGAAACGTACTCGGGGGATGTAAGTGGCTATTTCTCAGACTGTCGTCACTGCCGTTGTTCGGATGACCGCCGGACTTTGGCTGACCTCTACTGGAGGGCTGGTTGATTCTATGGAAGAGGTGCTGCCTGGAAGAACGCTGCTGCTGCTTGTTGCCTCACTAAGGGGTGTGGGTGGACGCACGTGAGAATCCCCGTCCGATGGATTTGCCCTTTTTCTGCGCACTCGATCAGCCGTTTCTCCCTCCGTTACACCGAGCTCGCCCTGTGGTGAACTTTTCCCATCTTCACCCTCAACCACCTCCTCTTCCTCCTCTTCCCCCATACCCTCTCCAGCTTCTCCTCCTTCCCTCCCCTCCTTCTCCGCTACCGTCTCGGACTCCACCAAACTCTCTGGAATCACAGTCTCCGAGGGGTTAAACCCTACCGTCGGCACCCGCCCCTTCGCAATTTGAAGATTTCCAATGTCAAACGCGTCGTCCGACACCCAAGGTTGCTGGAGAGCATTGAGAACATAGTCAATGATGATGTCAATGTACTCCAGATTGAGTCGACGCGTGTCAGCCTTTGATGCATTCTGGAGGACCCATTCCTTGTACTGTTTGAAGGTGATGCGAGTGATGGAAGGGTCTGCATCGATCCCCAGTGTAGGTTTGTGTCGTGGGTCGTACCACTCACCGTACACAGTCTTCTTCAGAGCACTCTTACCTGCACGATGGGAGGAACAATAATTATGTCATTAGTACATACCTCCTCCTATAATTATAGTCCAAACTGTAACACAATGATTTATGTTCAGTGTTACAGCTTTGGATCCCATGGCTCCGTTGATGATGACGTAGAAGTAAGATTTAGGCAGGGAAAATTTGTGGGTAATGTGGAAAACTGCCCTATCAGGCATTTGTTTACGGAGCGTGTCCTCGAAATGAAACTGCAACAAAAAGTGGTTCGAAAACACACTGTGGGTGTATATCCACTCTCACCAGTGCCTGTATCGCCCACTAGCACGATCCTGATGCGAGATTCCAGGTGACTGGCATAGCGAATGGCTCTCAGGTAGGCACGAATGATGTCCTTCTCCTTCCGATTCATCTCGCTAGTTGCCTGATCAGCTACAGAAATAAGCAACCATTGAGTCACTCATAAACCATTACACGTACGCGCAATAGGTGCAAGGTGCTTGACTACAACTCTCACGTCACATGATGCTTTCCCAAAAGCCAAGTGTGCGGATAATTTGACAACAAATATGGACCAACACTATACTAACCCACAGTTTTCAAAGAAATGTGCCACTAATAATATATTACCGTGTTGCTGTTCGATGTTTAGTAGCAAGCGTTCGGCTTCGTACTGTTGGAAGCGTTGGGCCACCATATACGGAGTCTCTCCTGCGTTATTCTCAATCATGCGATCGGCGTTGGCCTTGAGCAGGATCTCGATCAGTTCCCTGGAGCCGTGACGAGCCGCGTGGTGCAGCGCCGTGTATCCAGCGTCGTTGGTTGAGTTGACCACTTCAGGATCCTGTCCAGTACCTGCGGAAATCAGCACAGGAGAACGAATCACTGGGTGTATAATTATATAGACGCAACTTCAAATCCATGACAAGTCATAAAAATGGGGATCAAGGAAACAGAGGTCATGGAGAGAACGACCAATGCAAAGAGAAACACAGTGGTATATATAAGCTAGCTAGATAGAGCAGCTTATAAAGCATGCAGAAAACACAGAAAAGAGGGCGGGGACACAAGAGAACCAAGACCTACCGACAATGGTTCTGCAGGCTTCAACGTGACCGCCGACCGACGAGCGGTGAAGACACGTTTCTCCGCGGTTGTTGCGCACCGTAACCGAGGCGCCGGCGGCCTTCAACATGTGGCAGATCTCGGAGTTGCCGGCCTCGGCCGCGAGGTGGAGCGCCGTGTCTCCCCACTCGTTCCGCGCGTTGAGCCTCGCCCGAAACTGGCGCGTCTGCAGAAGGCGGTGCACCACCTCCGCGTTCCCATCACGCACCGCTGAGAAGAGATCGAAGGTCGTCATTCTCTTCTTCCCAACACACTCGTACGTTCTCTCTCTCTAGCTCTCTCTCCGGGGCTCCAGTCGATAGCTAGTTCGTTTGCGCACGCGCAAAACTGACATGCGCGCGCACGTCGTTCGCGCGTTGTTTTTACAAGCTCTAGCTAGCTAGCTAGCTCTACGAATGTGTTGTGGCGGGAGTTTACCGCGAAAGTCTACACCTGGGGGAGTGAGGTTGATGAAACAAACCCTTGCTCTCGGTGTCAGGAGGTGACGGGGGGAGACATGAGCGACTCAGAGTCTTCGGACGTCATGCATGTTTCCTCTACGACCGATGCCCGGGAAGAAGGGGAAAGAAGAGACGCTCTAGAGACGGGCTACAGGTCTGGGGACCAATTCGCGCGGTCGTTCGCCGAGCTGGACTCGTTGCGCGGCCTCGAAAAGCTCTGCGACGTGGTACTGGTGGCCGGTAGTGAGCGAATCCCCGCACACCGGGTCATCCTTGCTTCGCTCAGTCCCTACTTCCGCGCGATGTTTACGGGAGAGATGGCCGAAAGTCGGAAGAAAGAGATCGTCATCAACGGCGTCGAACCGAGCGCCCTCGTGTCGCTAGTCGTCTACGCTTACACTGCGTTCGTGAAGCTGAGCGAATCCAACGTCCAGTCGCTGCTCGCCGCCGCCAGCGCCCTGCAATTCGACGAGGTGAGGGACGCAGCAAGTCAGTTTCTCATGCGGCACCTCGACGCGGAGAACTGCCTGGGGATAAAGCAGTTCGCGGAAGCACACGGCTGCAAACAGCTCCACTCGGCCGCCGAGGTCTACGCCGCTCACTGGTTCTCCGACGTCTGCAAACGAGAAGAATACCGGTCTCTTCCGCTCTCTGATGTCGTCCCATTCCTGAGCAACCACCGACTCAACGTGGAGTCAGAATACGTAGTGTTCAAAGCTGCCCTCTGTTGGCTCAACCACAACAGATCAGAGAGGACGGAGCACCTCTACGAGGTCATGCGCTGCGTTAGATTCCCTCTACTTACAGAGGACCAGCTCCTAAAGGAAGTGGGTCGAAACTCCACATTCATTGGGAACCCTCGGTGTGTTGAGCTGATGGTGGAGGCCCTGCAACACCGACTACTTCCAGAAACAAAAAAGCAGGTCACTTCACTCCCTTCCCACTCTATGTCGTATATAGCTATCTCCCTTTCTTTCCCTGTTATTGCACACATTGGGGTTTTGCGCCGACTGGTTTCAAAATCACAGCTGCATAAAACTGAGCGTGGAAAAGAAGAGGGGGGTCTCTAGAATAATTATTAAGCTAAGAGAATTAGTAATGGAAGAAAGTACGGCAATGTCAATGTTTTCTTGCTGGAATGCATATTGTGCCATATTTCTCTCTCTGCCTTTGCGTTGTGTGTATCAGACGTTGCCTTCGTTTGTGTGACAATCAGTGAACCATGAGGGAAGCAAATTATTGGTGGGTGGCATGCCCCCATATGTTTGCAGACAATGTCTCGTCTACTTAGGAGGCCCTAGCCAGGGCTCTGTAGGCGGAATGTCCAAACAAATACAGGCCCACTCAATAGTCAGTGCTAATTTCGTTCCCATGCAAATTAGCGCAGGCTTACCTCGACCGCATCTGCTCGCTCTGTGTATCTTGCAGGCACAAGAAGTCACAACGAAGGGCGTGTATATCTTTCTAGCTGGCAGCTATAGCTTTTGTACAAGACCTCTATGTTGGTGACAGACTTTAGTATACACACACACTTTGCTCCTGCGGTATATATACCTGATGTTACCTTCATTTTCCTGCACCATGAAAAGGCTCTTTGGTGCCCTCCTTAGGTGGACTCGAAGCACCTTGTCCCCAGAAAGCCGTCGGAATTTCTCTATGCAGTCGGCGGATGGGACGGCCACACGGCTGTCAGTACTGTTGAGTTCTACGACACGGACACAGAGCAGTGGACACTTGGGACTCCCCTGCTGTCTAAGAGAAACGGTGTGGGCCTCGCTTTCACTGGGGGGCTCCTGTACGCCGTCGGTGGACATGATGGCCATTCATTTCTCAATACGGCAGAGGTGTTCAACCCACAGACAGGTCGGTGGCAGAGCATTCCTCCGCTGAAGCAGAAACGAGCCAGTGCGGGTGTTGCAGTCCTAGGGAACTATCTCTACGCCATAGGTGGTCAAGAAGGAGTGGCGAGACTCAAATCGGTGGAGCGCTACAATCTTCTCGGAAAGTCGTGGGAGTCTGTCGCGAGCATGAGCGTGCGGCGCGACAGTCCTGGCGTTGTGGTGCACGAGGATCAGATATACGCCATCGGTGGCTGCCACTCGTGTATGTTTCTCAGTACGGTGGAGAGATACGACCCAGTGCAAGACTCGTGGTCGTCGGCCCGGCACATGATCCACCGCCGCAGTGCCGTCGGTACGGTGTCGTGTGGCACGTACATCTACGTACTCGGCGGACACAACGAGCAACGTAATCTCACGGTGCTGGAGAGATACGACACGAAAAAAGACTGCTGGACTGAACTGTCGTTCATGAACGTTCCTCGAGCGGGTGTCGGTGCTGCGATTCTAAATCGGAAGGTAGTTGCCGTCGGAGGGTTCAATGGATCCGAGCAACTAGCGTCAGTCGAGCAGTACGACCCAGTGACAGACTCGTGGTCTTACCTCCCGCCCATGAAGAACGAGCGAAGCTACGTGGGTGCAATGGCCACCGTCAAAATAACTTGATATCGATCGCCGCCTTCTCCGTCAATGTTGTTCTGCTCTAGTCAATCAATTCAACAATCAATTTACTGTAGTAATTTCGGTTATCCTTTATTCAAATCAACAATCACCTCACGTATCATTCTCACTGCTACCATTTGCCTGCCTTTGTTTTTGTTTCAATGTTTACCTACCCAGCCAATAATGTGGGGCTTTTTACAGCCTCGCATATTTAATGATAAGTGTATAATTATATATACCAGTCCAGCATGTCAAAAATTGATAAGGTCGGTATGTACAATTAGACACAAATGGATGGTGAAATGCAAGTTGAAAAAACTAAACAAAACAGCACCGAATTTACGTATAACATTACAGTCAACAGTTTGTTTACAGAAAAAACAGAAGAACATAAAATAATGATTACTCTAAGTGTGAAGAAGCTCTAGTTAGGGTGAACTATGACGCCTGTTCTTATGCCACGCGACGATGAATTGTCATCGGAGGCCATGGTTGCTTGGACTCCAGGCGGCACCCTCGCAAGAAATAGCTGCTTGTGCATCTCATGTTGCTGATGCTGAGATAGGACCTCTTGTACAAACCTCTGCTGCTGCTGCATGTGGTGCTCCTGGAGGATCCGCTGATACTGCTCCATGGCCATCTTCACCTGGGGCGACTGGGCGATGATTGGGTTCCGCTGAATGCTGTGGAGGAGCAACTCGTAGTGCCGCTGGATTTCCATGACGTTCTCAGCCGGCGTCGCGGGAACCATGTTCTGAGTTGCCGTCATCCCACCCGTTGCGTTACCAGCCACCACCAATGCTGCTTGTTGCTGCTGCTGCTGCTGTTGTTGTTGTTGTTGTTGTTGTTGTTGTTGTTGTTGTTGAGCGATCAACTGCTCCATTAGTATCGGGGGCACAATACCACCGGGCATGAACTGGTGTATACCTCCCTGAGCCTGCTGCTGCTGCTGTTGCACAGCCAACAGAGCTGCCTGTTCCTCGGGGCGAAGGTGGGAAAAGGCCTCAATTGTGAGCGGGTGAGCTGCCAGAGCTGGATAAAGGTGTGCAGCGGCAGCTGCATGGTACAGACTGCCTCCCGACTGGAAGATGGCTCCGGGGAAGGGCTCGGTGCCGACTGGTACGGCCCCGGAATGGATAAGAGACAGGAGCCGCTGTTGCTGCTGCTGTTGTTGAAGAGCCACTTCCTCTGGAGTGGGAAACGTGAATGCAAGCGGTTGTTGTTGCTGCTGCTGTTGGGGTTTCCCGCCCTGGGTCAGGTGATCTATTGAGTGAGCAGGTAGCGGTGTGGCGTGGCTTATGGCCTGGGCTTGTGTTACTGCACCTGCAAGGTAAGGGGTAACATAATCTTTCGTGCAAAGTGCCCTTCTTTTCCTCTTGTATGTATGTACTGCATGCAGCAGTGTATTGAAGCAAACTCTCACTGAGACAGGCTCTAGTTCAAAGCATGCACTTACATGTACTAGTACTTGCATGTAGAAAATACCATGTGATGTACTAGTACTTGCATGGACATGTACACAAGCAAGTGCGTACGCGTGCACACACATACACTCCAACTTCCACTTTCACAAATTCTCACTTCCTCCCTCAGTCTCTCACCTTGCATGGGGTGAGCAGTGACCAGCTGGGCATGGGCGGCATGCTGCTGCTGCTGCTGCTGCTGCTGTGCCTGCACAAGCTTCAGATGCTGCTGCTGCTGATGCCTCATTTGCAATGCCAGGTCGTCCTCTCGCGAACTCAACTGTTTCGGCTCCCTCACAGCCGTTTCCACGGACTCCGCCCGTCTCTGGTGGGCGGGGTCGTGCGAGGAAACGGGCGGGGCTGACGTGGAAGCAGCCACCATTGCCTGAGGTGGGTAGGGGAATGGGAACTGGAGAATTGGTCCGGGACCCATAGGTAGCTGGGGTGCGTAGTTCGTGATGATGGGGACTTTTGGTAGAGGGTGGGTAGAGGAGATGGGAGGGTGGGAGGGGGGAGGGAGGGGTCCTGTGAGTCTCTGGACCACTTGCGGGTGGAGCTGGAGAGAGGAGAAAACCCTAGTTTCAGTTGTGTTCACTAGCGTATGCTGGGCCAGTGCATTGAGGGTGTGATATATATATACGCTGCCCACATGCAAACCTGAGAGCTTTGCCGTGGTGCTAGGCTGATATATACACTTAGAGTGCAAGGGTGAAACAGAGTGTTTGCCAACCTTGGGAACGCTGACGGGCTTCTCCTCTGGAGGAGGGTGTATGTACACCAGGTCAGTTCGGGCACAGGTGGACTCCGCATCCTTTGACACACGCGAGAAATTCTGTGGCAGACTGATGGAGGTGGGGTCGCTGGCCGACTGGTGCTGCGATGGCTCGGGAAGCAGAGTTGCGGTGGACGATGGAGGTACCTCGCTCTTCTCCGGGGCTAGTGGCTGAGCAGTGATTGGAACATTGGCGGGTGACTTTTGAACCACGGTGGTGGTTGCCATGGTAGCATTGGTTGCCAGGGGCGATTTCTGGGTGGATGAGGAAGAGGCGGGGCTGTCTCTGTCACCCTCTCCGTTGGTACTTCCGTCCTCTTCATCGCTTTCTGCCCCCTGCAGAGAGACAGTGAGGCTTATCAATGCCTAACATACTATGTACGAACTCCAATTGATGTGGACTTGTTTCTATGCTTGTGCAGTTTGCATGGGTAAAGGGAAACCCTGGGCACTTTGAAAAAATCGGTCTAAGTTACTGTTCAATTCTACTGCGAACCTCTTCGTCTGTCTTGGCTCTCTTGGCTGGTGTCATCTGCTCGCTGAGCTCCGGCATGTTGGTGGGTGTGGCCTTTGCGTTGTCGTCAAGGTGATCGAGTATGGAGCGACGGGTTTTGAGGGATTTCTGTTTGGGTTGTGGAGGAATTCTGACTCCGTCATCTACGAAACTTCCCTCACTGCTGCTGTCTGTTGCTTCTGGAGGGAGGGAAAACGATAAAAGTATAACAATAATATCACTAAAGGGTTAGCATATGCAGCATATGCCCAACAAAGCTGCATTAACAGAACTCATGCACAGTTTCAAGATCACACTAACATACACAAGATGCCTATCACAAGCCATATGTATGTCCAATTAAACTATTCACAACTAGCTTACAAGCTGTGAATTCAATCAAGTCACACACCAACTCAATAAAGCTACTCACACTAGCTTACAAAGGTGCATTCACAATACAACACTAGACTTTCGTTTCGAGTCTGTCTTATACCGTCGTTTTGACGATTGAACGCTTTGAACTTTGCCCCTGGCAAACAACCATGCACGGATGACATTAACTCTAAAGCTACTCATATTAGCTACAACGGAGCGTAACATCGCGCCGTTGATGAAGTAAGTTACTGACCTTCCTCGTCTTCGCTGCCGTTCTTACTGGCAATCTTCTGACTGCGAAGGCCCGGTCGTGACCCCATGCCCCTCGACCCGTTACTGTTTCGAGTCTTCCTACGGCTTCCGGTTGCCGTGGCACCGGAGTCATCGTTGCCGGGAGACTCGTAGTGAGATTTGAACAGGATGTCGGGGACTTCAGCGGGCACTGTGATAACCAACACAAATTACAATACGGACACAACACATCATAATACAACGTAATACTCTGCTATAGCCCTGGGTGCGTGGTCTCTAGGTGTCTGGGAGGTGAGACAGACACCTCATGTTCATATGGTGTATGTTCGTTTGTTAACAGTTCCGCCCATTGCTCTGGGTGCGTGGTCTATGGCCCTAGTGCTATGGCAGCCACCTGAGTATTATACTCTGCTATAGCCACTGCCTCGTTGACAGCTAGACAGCGAAATCTGCACGCATTAGCAGCCAATGTCTCTCTGTAGCGTTCCGAGCATAGCAAGGACACCGTGTAAAAAAGGCCCGAGGGCTTCTAACAGTGCACATTTCACAGACTGGCTAAATCGTCTTTGGATGAACTTTCAAATCCATTTTTGCTTTCTCGTTCACCAGTCTTCAAGGAATTTTTGCCAATCTGAGCCACGGCTGATGTTTTCTCTTTATTCACGTGTTCAGTGAAATGGCACAACAGGCACTTAGAAATCATGAAGCAACGTGAATATTATATACGACGAGATTCAGAAGACAGCAAGTATAGGCTTGCAAGTATGCTAGAGAAAGCAGTGATGTGATTTGCCTTTGTGTGCCACACTTACCATCAACAGTAGGCTTCATGAGGCCGTACTTCTTGTAGTGGAGTCTGCAGATCTTACAGAGAATTGCCTTTTGTAGGCCCGCATGGTGCCAGTTCGGCGAATCTGGAGAGAGAGAGAGAGAGAAGGTGGGGAGAATGGAAGAGGAAGAGAGAGAGGGGCTGTTTAGGTGTCCAACTGGTTAAACCGGTTCCTAACCTGTTGTGTAGCACTGTCGGCAGACGTAGAGGCTGTGTGATAAAAGGACATATAAACATCACGATAGCACAAACAAACAGTATTACTATATAAACCCCAGATGTGACTAATTAATCCCAGATAGTGAATACTATTAATTCAACACAGCTACTTGACCTCAGGAATGTGTCAACGTAAGTACACTTCACGAGGACTCGTACATTCGCACACAATACTTGTGGGTGTGGCTTCAGGCTCACCTTTGACCTTTCTCTCCGTCTTCGTCTGTCGCTTCATCTTCATCACAAGAACTCCAATCCACTGCAGAAATATCACTACCTCAATTCCTAGCCTATCTCTCTCCTACCATTGTTCTGGCATTAATTCTATAAGACTCTTTTGATACCATAAAATCCATTTTCTGTTGGGGTACAAATTCCTGGATTTTGACACCCTTACATGTCAGGGTTCATGATATGTGTCAGAAATATAGGCCACGAAAATCAAAATAAACCCACTACACAGGCGATAAAGCACACATCACATGTCGCTCTAAAGCTTAATAATTATCCCTTTGGACGCCATGGGGATCTACTTAAATAAGCAGAAATAGATGTATGAAGTACAGTATTAGCGCCTAGTATACCTGCTTATGGAGGCTCTGGACACATTTATGTGTCCGTGGCTGGTTAAGTGTTAATGTTGAAACCCCAACATTAAAAGGACTATTGCCACCACATGGTCCCCAAGTATCCTGTATTCCACACACGAGTGTGGTCTATCACTTTTCACATACGCGATGTATGTACATATATACTCACTGTATTCTCTCTCTGGGGTGATTTCTCGCGACTTCATCATCATCCGAGATAGTCGTATGTGCGTCTGTTTCCGTTGGCGACGAGTGTTCCTTGACGTCAGCCCGGGAGTGGTCTTCTTCCAGTGATAGTAGTATTCAGCTAGCTCTCTCTGGTGGGGGAGAAAAAGAGGGGGGAGGGAGGGAGTGAGGAGCCACATAAGATTACCAAAACGCCTAACAACTTCCCTGCTAGGGGACTTAGAGGCTATTTGCGAACCACAAATCACATTATTAGGCAGTTTGCCAGGCCATGTCACCCCCATTCACTGAAAATCAGACTCAAGGAGCTTTTCATATTCCTTTCACTGTGCCGACTCAAGGAGCTTTTCATAATCGTTTGACTGTGTCTTGAGTGAGTGTGTCGTGTCTTGAATGCATTGTTTTGGCGGCTCACAATTTTCTTTTTTGGCAGAAGTTCCTTCTGAATCTTGAAGAAGTTCTTTCCGAACTGGCGCATCCCTTTGGCGAAAAGTACCTGCAGGTGTATAGGGGAAGAGGGCTTAGGGTTAGCAGGTAAAGGAGAGTGAAGGGAAGTGGGAGCAAGTGGGAAGAACTCAAAAGGAGAGGGAAGAAGGAAAATGGGAAGAACTCAAAAGGAGAGGGAAGAAGGAGAGGAGGAGAAAGGACAGAAGGAGAGGGGGGACGGGACAAAAGAAGGAAGGAGAAGACAAAAGGAGAGGGAAGGAAGGACAAAAGAAGGAAGGAGAGAGAAGGAGAGGGGAGAAGAACTGACTGTGCTCTCTTTGCTCCAGTTTCTCTTTGCAACCAACTGTCCAACCGTCGGTCTCTTTACCAGCTCTTGCAGGGCCTTCTCCGTACTGTGACCATTGCGATGGAGCTGTTGTTTGACGGGAAAGAGAGACCGACCGAGGTGAAGAGGTTAATGTATGTATGTAGCCACATACACAAATAGATACACACCAGTAAATGAGGAAGGATGAATGCTAGGTAATAGGGCACACAGAACCCCTTCAAAGACACTTTCAAGTGTCGTACTCCCAGAGAACGCTCACATAGAGCCTGCACTTACGTCAAGTCATTCGTGTATGATGCATGCGCTCACATGTATGAACCACACTTCCACATGCATGCATGCAGTGCTGATATGCATCAACGACGTCAAAGTGAAGCAAAGACAAACAAATCAACTACACCCAGGACAATTCTTTTGTCGGCACGCTAGGCGAGTGCTCTACCAGCTGAGTTACCAGGGCAACTCAGCATGTAGGGGTTCAAATCTACATCCCAATAGAACACAAGACAAGCAAACCCCAAACAATTGTTCAAGTAACACGCGTAGTATGTGCATTACATCAGATATTGTAGATCACGTAGGTGTACATGTACATGTGTTACATCCTGTATTGTAGATCACGTAGGTGTACATGTACATGTGTTACATCAGATATTGTAGATCATGTAGGTACGTGTACATGTGTTACATCAGATATTGTAGATCATGTAGGTACGTGTACATGTGTTACATCCTGTATTGTAGATCATGTAGGTGTACATGTACATGTGTTACATCAGATATTGTAGATCATGTAGGTACGTGTACATGTGTTACATCAGATATTGTAGATCATGTAGGTACGTGTACATGTGTTACATCCTGTATTGTAGATCATGTAGGTGTACATGTACATGTGTTACATCAGATATTGTAGATCATGTAGGTACGTGTACATGCACGATGCTTACAATGTTGAATGCTTGCTGGGTGGTCTCATCTGAAGAGGCCGCCTGCATTGGGGGTGAGAAATACGTTAGAGCGTCTCCCCTGCCAATCTCTCTCTCTCAACTCTTTCCCTTTCTCTCTCTCTCCCACTCATCTTTCTTGTCTACTTCACTAGACAAAGGAAGTTACTGAGGACCACGTATACTTACCAAGTATCCATCTGTGATGAGACCTTTCATACACACACCAGCATGCAGAGCTATGCTTCTGTATGGACAGAGAGAGAGAGGGAGGGAGAGAGAGAGAGAGAGAGGGAGGGAGAAGAGAGAGAGGGAGGGAGAAGAGAGAGAGAGGGAGGGAGAAGAGAGAGAGAGGGAGGGAGAAGAGAGAGAGAGGGAGGGAGAAGAGAGAGAGAGGGAGGGAGAAGAGAGAGAGAGGGAGGGAGAAGAGAGAGAGTGTGTGAAATGGTGAGGGTGTATTGGTTTACTCAATCAACAAATCGCTCCTCCAGTGCCAAAACCATTGAACCTCTAACGTTATTACAAGTGGCATATGTGCCCACAAAAGCCCTGCTAACAGCTCTGGAACAGGGCATTATAATGCATAGAGTATCCCACACACGGAGAATATAACTAGTTTAGTCCCCCCCCCTCCCCTCCCTCTTATATTTCACAGAAATCGTGGTAGCCTCAAATATACAATTGTGTTGTTCACAAAGTGTATTAGAGTTTACTGACATCATTGGAATCCCTCTGATCCAGGCACCAATGGGGCAGAAGAAAGTGTGCATATTATTAACGATGTGTGCTTATTTCAGAGGTTCAATATGTACACTGTTCTTGAGGAAGGCTTATTAAAGAGGTGTCCTCATTTCTTAGAGAGGGGTTCCACTGATGTTTGGCTTGTTTTGGTCGTTGTTGTTGGTTGTGTTCGTGGAGGACTTCGCGTGTGGTGTTGGCCATAGGTAAACAAAGAGGACCGAATGTTGTTGTAATTGTTGTTGTATTTGTTTGTTGTTTGGGGAGGTACATATCTCACCTGGCGGCTCGAAGAAACATTAGCAGCTGGTCGTCGGCCAACTGGTGAGGTTTCCAGACCTACACAGACATAATTCATCATCATAATGGACAGACTCAACCTTTTTAACACTCTGCATGCGGTGGGCTAGCACCCCTGATATCCAGACACCATGTGATGAGGAAAATGTCGATAATTATTGGTCCCTATCTCGGGGGTTGAATTGCATGCAAGAACTGTACACACTGTTCTTGGGGAAAGAAAAGGTGTCCTCATTAGCAGCTTGTTGAAGATTCAGGATGTGCATACAACCACAGTCACAGAGCCTATATATATACAATGAATGGTAAAGTTAAAGTCCCATACCAGTTCCTCGTGGTTTGTGATCCTGGACTCGGGACGGGAGTATCGCAGACTCGGACTCAGAGGACGAGGGGAGGAGGAGGAGGAAGAAGAGGGGGAGGGCGAAGCCAGCTGACACTCTGGAAGCTCCGCCTAATTTTCAATCAAGAGGGAGGGAGGGAACGAAAATGAAACTTGAGCAGATTCTGAATTCAAATGGGGACAGATTTTGAATTTGAAATCCGTCGGCACGCACCTGTTGGCTGTGGGGGATGTATATGTCTTCGTTTCTGAGTGTTAGCCTCCTACAGTGAAAAAAAGCAGTAAACCAGCTGTACATTCTGAAGCACAGAAACCAGGGCCACCTACATACGCATCTTTCAAGTGGCATGAAAAAAAATATGTTTTATATACCTCGACTCTGGTTTGTAGCCAAACGTGTAGAAAAACGAGTTTTCTTCAGTGAGGTAAGTGGCGACGTTACCAACCTCGTTCAAGAGTTTCACCTTGCATTTCCCCCTGGAGAGATGGAGGGGAAGGGCGAGGGAGGGAGGGAGGGAGGGAAGAGGGAGAGAGAAATGCAGTGAGAAGCAGGAGGAAAGATGGGAGGATGAAAAGAGGAGGGAGGGAAAGACATTTACAAGGTGGTGTGTGATTACACCCACAGACCAATACATTAATTAGCACCTAATCAAAGGAGCAGTCCACACTAATTGACCAGCCTAGAGGGGCCAGCTGAGCTAGACTGAGTAAGGCTAATTAGATTGCTCCACATATTTGCGGTGGGCACTACAGAGGTCCAAATGAGGCAGGAATGCTGCAGAATTGTTTGGAAGATAACAATGTTGTATGGTAAAAGGTATATATAGCTAGGGCTTATGACTCAACATTGACTATATATAGTCTTTTAGGTTGCCCTGAGGCACTCTGGTAAAGGCTGTTTTGAAGTGGGTAGGGGCTCACTCAGCCTCTTACTATATTATAGTGGAACCTCACTATGCACAGACAGCAATGTGACAGAATTTGTGAGGTGTCCCCCACTTTTCAGGGCTTCTAAGAAACTGTTCTTGGGGAAAGAAAAGGTGTCCTCATTTCAGGTGTCCTTAGAGGAGGGTTTCCACTGTAGGAAGTGGAACCATACAGTGTTCAACTGACATGCCAGAACTGTTTGGGGAAAGAAATGGTGTCCTTGGTGTCCTCAGTTGGCTTCACTGCGTCTCAGTGACACGGACTACAAGTGTGTTTTGTGCCCCAAGTCACACATTTTCTCACAGCACTATATACACACTGGGAGACTACACACGACAGTAGAGACTGGACCTTGGGTCACCCCTCCTCTATCACTGAATGGGAACAAAGAGGCCTACACTGGCCTGGACAAGAGAAATCACAAAAGCTGTCCATTGACAGGAACATAACCTGAGTGTTTGTGGCTACCCCAGGCTTTTGGGAGGACAGGGAAATGGTTTCATCTTCAACCTACCAACCAAGCAACCCCTATCCCGCCTCCCTCTCACCTACCTTGCCCTCCCGCTCACTCCCACCTACCTCATCCCCCAACTCTATTTGCTTGCTCCCCTCCCCCTCACTCCCCCTCCTTATTTTCTTTCTCCTCTCTCTCTCCTCTCAGAACAACTCTAAATGCTACCAGAATACAACCACTCACGATACAAATCTCCGGCTGAATTATGCCACCAGATCTTCCCGAGTAACCTAGTATCAAGAGCTTCTGTGCTAAATCTTCTTCTACAAGCTTCTGCTCCCACATGTTTGTATCGGCTTGTTTCACTATCACTATTTGTCTATATTTCCCCACACCTCCCGTTGGTATGTGTGCCACAAAGTGTCTGCAATAATCCACAGTCTTTCTAAAGTGAAAGCTAAATCCACAAAACCAACCAATAGAGGTTGCACACACACACATCCCACGAGTAGAACAAAGCTGTGTTTTCCTTTCTAATCGTTCTTCCTTTCCTTTCCGACTTGCATACTCATCACACATTCTTTCAGCCTACCTTGCATGACAAGTCAGGAGCGAGACGTGCAGATAATTATTACGAAGTAATCCGGTGAAAAAAGCCATCAGTTTGTACTCACAAACCTAGTATATATAAGGCCATTTTTGTTTGTCAGTGGCACACACACGATGGAACTTGAGAGATTTTCGAGCTCTGCTATAGTTGAAGAGGCGTTTCTCGCCATTCCTGCCCGAGATAGTGATATACCTGGTGTCAAGGTATCGCGTTACAGTGCAGCCGACCAATGGTATGCGTGCAATGCGCAATCAAAAACAACCAATCTGAAGGCTTGGAAGAGACAGTGGAGTATATAGGGCAGGGAAAGATTGGAGAGCTAAAAATGGAGGGTGGTGGTGGGGGGGGTGGTGTTTTGCATAAGCACAGAGAGTGCACAGACTAACAAGCACGGACTACATCATTCAGACATGATAACACTACAAGTGATGTAACCCGACACATGTCAAGTTGTAATTGTCTTACAACAAATACATGCAGACCAGATGGCTATCAAAGGCACAAGATAGCGGACACATGACTCTGTGTGTGCGTGTCTACTCTGTTAGCTATAAGGGAGTGTTGGGCCCCTCAATCTCCTGCAATTAAAACGGCCCTGTAAGAGGCCCGTTACGGGTCTTCGAGATTTGTACATGTTGGCAGCAGCTCTTCCTGGTCAGTTGTAGCTCCAGTGCAGAAAAAGGACAGGGAAAGCTCGTGACAGCATGCACTTGAAAACAGGATATGTACCTACTCTGGTGTGATGCAGACACCGTGATACTAAAAAGGCTCCTAACCACAGGAAGTAAAGCTAAAAGCCAGTGAACTCTACACTAGTGGATGATTATGCATTTATCTACTACTATAATTATACAATGACAAAGGACTAGTCCCTATATTGCAAAGCTGTGTGAAATGACGAACATTGAAAGCACAACATGTTGGCAAAATTTGGCGGCACAGACACACAACACTCGACAGGCTGTTGCTTGTATATATACCTGGCATCCTGGTCAGACCAAACAACACTCAATCAAGGTGCTTACACACACATTCACACACACTCACACACACATTGTGCAAATTCTGTGCAAAGCTTATGGTTACCACAATACTTGTGATGTGGTCTACCAGTTTACAAGTGTGCATAACTTAAATACAGAGTGTTTTTTCACAATTGTGGTTTACCCAAGTGTGTTGGCAAGTTCAATAACTTTCTAACTACCGCGATTGCTGGCTTGCTATTTTCTACACCGGCCTTGTCTATGCTCACATTGGCAGCTTAATAATATCTCACTTGTTTATTTGTTGTTGTTGTTTTGTTGTTTACCTGAAGAGGGAGGCGGAGTGGGTGTCAATGTTGAAGGCCATGAAGAGCTCCCTCTCCCTCATTTGGGGGTGTTTATACATCTCAGCATTGTCACCTGCAGAATACACAAACATTTACAGTGCGAAAAATAATATGCCATTAGTGCCACACTCTGATGTGAATTAGCAGTCATAAATTAGGGATAAACAGACGTAATAAGAGGGTCATATTGGGCAATACAGGGAGTGGAAACACATTAATAAGGGTGTGCTGTTTGCCAGTGCCATATGCTGTCCCAGTGCGGGCACACAGTGCATTTATAGCCTCACTCTTTTATGGACTCTGTGTCCACAACAAAACTAAAAGTTATACACTGCTGCTGCTGAGGACTAATACAGCATAATTCAGTGTTAGAGTGTGTCAGCCAGATATACACAAAGATGATGATCCAGCATTTCAGACTTGCACAGACTGGTGGGTATATACCTCCTTCCCCCCCTTGTTCTCCCCCTCCCTTTACTACACCTTCAGGCTCTAATTCTAACCCACGAAATTGCAAGCCCACAATGGGCACACCTGTCCACACACTGGCAGACTATATATTACAGGCTCACACTCCCCACACTGTACAGCTACTACCACTGACTATGGCAGAAAAAAGATTGCCCCTGAAATGAGGACACCTCACTAATGTGGACACTTTCTCCAGACCCATTCCAGGAAAAAGAGAGGATTGAACCTTGTAGAGTTTCTCTAGAAATTTTGTGGCAGTTCTGCAAAAGATTCCCCTGTTTTGACCAAGTTTGTGATTATTTGAAAGTCTCAGCAGGACATTTGACGGCACATGACTAATATATTAAGGCATGTGTACAAATAATAATGCCCACATGATGATATAGCAACATCATCATTGGCTGGCGGGCATTGGTTTAGCAGATGTTGGCAGCTGCACTGATTACAGCCCTCTCACTAGCAACACTACAATTCCCGCCAGAAAACACATGTAGATCGTGCCCACACACCCATCTCCTAAGACACTTCTTCTTCTTCTTCGATAAGGCCATCTTTCTCTCCTCGAGAACAGTTTCTTGCATGCAATTGAACACCCCCGAAATATATACGTAACCTCGCTAACGTGGACACTTTCTTCTGTACCATTGGTGTCCGGATAATTAGAGGAGCGTTCAGTTCACAGCTATGCATACCACCAACAACTTGAATCAATACACGCACTAGGAGTGAGGCCATTGAAAGAAGTGCCCCCATTATACCCATACATTAGACAGCCCTTTATGCATAATATACCAACACCTTTCTAAGCAACTACAATAGAACCCCAAGTGACCAAACTATAGTAAAGGCGCTGCTGGTATCACATGACAAGTATGCATAGGCAGCCACCATACATTGTTGTCCCATACGCTCATCCTTAGAAACTATCAAGAGACAGTGGAGACCTCTCAATTTGGTAAACGAAAATCATCTCCAAAAGTCGAAGTGCTGATCTTTTTTACCACAACATGTGAGGTGTGTGTGTGTGTGTGTGTGGTGTGGTGGGGAGTTGTGTGAGCTATGCTGTGTGTGTGTTAGTGGATGAGGTGCGTGTCAGCTATGCTTGTCTGTGGCATATTTGTGCGTGTTTCGGTGTTTGTGTGTTCTAGTCTATTGGGTGTTGTGTGAGCTAGAGTCTGTGTCTGTGTGTATGTACTGTAACATGCTTGGCATTGTAGGGGTGAATAATATGTGGGCGGACCCTACAACTGAGTGAGATAAGCATTGAGCTAGCCCAAGCAATTTGCCACACTCTGGACACCAGCAACTTGCAATATAATCTCCATAAAATGCATGGTTTCCCCCCTTGAAAATTCCGCTAGCTTCAAAAATATATATATATAGACCCCAGCAACAACATAAACCCCCATGTGCTAGCTACAGTATAGACCACCAGCAAGTTGCCACACAACAAGATACCCCAGCAACACTGTGCCATACAATAATTATAGACCACCAACCAACACATATTGACACAGCAGGTATACTCTAGAGACCTTTGATCTAATAGCGTCAGACACAAGGCACCATTTAGTGCTGCACCACAATAGGCTGCAAACTGGTCCATTAGCACAAAGTGCTAAGGGGTTTAGTCCACAGCAGTGTAAAGCACTCTGTCACTGATACATTGAAGCTTGAAGTATATACCTTTCACTACAGTAGCTAGGGCTTGGTGGATGTTTGAGCAAGCATTCAGCTTTTCGTAAGTGCAAAAACCCTCCAAAGCATTTGTCTTAGCATTAGCCAGTTTGACAGAAGTAACTATAATCACAGGGCCACATAGGCACCGGGGGTTTGGTTATAGTTGTGCTGGCTAGCACCAAGCCTCAGATACAATTCATATGGGTATATATACACAAGCCAACACACGCCAAGCACACCATGTCGTCCGGTGGTTAAACAAAGGGTGCAATATGATACCGTACCACTTCCTAACCTTTCATCTCACTCCGGTATATCTGTTACACTCACAAACACAGCAACAGAACATACACACAGTTACCATACAGCTGGAAACATATAAAATTAGAGGTATTTTGAGAGCCATCCATAAAATTTTTCTCTGTGAAATTTTACGTGCGAAAACAATCTGCAAAAGTAGAAATGTTTTATTTTGCTCCCTCTCTGATTGGATGGGGAAGGGTGGAAGCTAGCTACGGGCAGCAAAACGAGACGTCCAGAAATTGCCATGAAGATTTGTTTGGGTTAGAGTTATGTTTCATTGGATCGCTGCCGAGCCAAAACACAACGTCACATATGTTGGACAGTGAGAGAGGGGTAAGTATAGGGCTCGGGCTAGGGGAGACAGTGAGGAGAGAGAGAGAAACTTGACAGAAAATGCTCCACCACCGCTTCGTCTGATCTTGCATCAGAGAAGGGTGTAGACAGACTCGGGAAGTTCTGACACTCGGTAGACCACTTCACCTCCGCTCACTCCGAGTGCCCTTCCGATCCTACAGACGACAGAGAGAGACCGGCGGCCGATAGGTGAGGTGAGGCTTGAGAGCAGAGAGAGAGAGAGATAAAAAACTGACTAGACCGTGAATAAAGGGACATGTCTGGGATAGACATTACATCCTTTATAGGGATGGTTGTCCTCTCTGGAGGTTAAAATGGGTGTACGAAAGATGAATGTTTTGGACTTTGTCCTATACTAGACGTTGACATTCTTGCGTTGTTGAAGAATGTATAAGAACTTCAACATTCAGATTGTACAAATCAAGAAATAACTTCCGCATCAATCAAGACTCAAACAAATTTTTTCCGTTATTGAGAGGGTTTTCAATTACGGGATTGTCCTTTTATTCTGAGTTAACTGTAGACACTCCGAATCACCAGTACAAAGGCCCACCAAAAACTCTAAGAAAGGAGCATCAAAATGGGAGTCATTAGAGCAACACTGCGCATCAATTGTCAGATACCTCTGGAATTCCGCCATGAATAAGGAAAGTTTGCCAGTACAAACACCACAAATGCCAGTGGAAAATCACTCGCTGGTTGTTGATTGTATTCATGACTACCCCCCACTACACACTCGTGGAATGGACCCGTCGCCCAAAAGACCCGTCGCCACAGAGAGCCCTGTCACTACTGCGTCCTCCTTGGCACAACCCGGAGGTGTATAAAGCCAACTTGCTCTTTTTATAAGTTTAATGCGCATTATATAAATCCTTTCAACCCACTAAAACTGTCCTTAAACTACTATCACTCCCCGCCCACATGCAAGAAAAACTCCAGTTAAACTGCCACCCCAAATACCCTTTCCATATGACACAACCTCAAGTGAGTTTAAGTTATAAATCCCCAATTATAACCCCTATCCATGGGATATATAAACCTACACTTGGTAGGAGGACCACCCCTTGTTGTATTGTCCCCACAAGCAACCCAGCACCAAAGGTAGGCAACCAAATACAATGCAGACATGTGGGCTCTGGCATTTACCTCACAAGACTAGCCTGGAAGACAGATATCAGTTCAATTGACACAATTGCACTGACACTGCTAGGCCAGGTAAGTATACTATATCAAGCAATACGACAATGGAATATACATAAGGCCCAAGGAAAAAGTAATCTCAAGCACAGAGGCCAAGGAATATACAGCTAAGGACCAAGGACTATACATTAAGCCAAGGGACTATACAGTCAATCCAAGGACATACAGTAGGCCAAGGGCTATACAGTAAGGCCAAGGGACTATACAGTAAGGCCAAGGGACTAAACAGTAATGCCAAGGGAAGATACTACACTAAAAACACAACAGAGGCCAGGGACCCATAGTCCAATGACACCAGAGCCAAAGTTACTGCAGAATTTTGTACTGATAGCTTACTGGGTCATTCTCTTTCCTCAATAGCGATCTTGAATGACATTGACTCCAAGGAACGCATTGACTAATAGGAGTCACTCTCTGTTCCATTGGGTATAATACCCCACATGGAGGTATATCCCCACTGTACTACTAAACGCCTATATTAGCAGATGGTGGTTTGCAGGCACCTACTTCCGGTAGGTACAGGTCAATGGGTAAGTAAAGACAGTGTGTTATTCTGTGATGAGTAATACACATTACAGCATTGCTTGAAAAACAAGCCTACAACACAGATGTCAAATCCACTACTAAATATCAAATGATACCTGTAGGGCACTATATACCCACTAACAGACCCGTTAATTTGGTAAAGTGTAGCAATCGTAGTAAATGATGAATCACTAACGATCAGATCAGATCACAAACATAACATAACGGTGGAGTAAGCCAGTCTTATGAAACCAGCTTCAAATTGGGAATACTGTGCATTGAATTGTACATAGCATTCAGAGGATGCTCCCATTATAATACAACTCGTAATCACCACACTCCTGCCCCACAAATCGGGATGAGCCAGTAATTACAGCATTTCCACGAAAAACTTGGGGCAAAAAAACCCACTATTAGCATCTCTATTTACTGAGAGAATGCTCTACTACTAGAGTTGATGACATATTACCAGGACAGGTTATCCCCTTAACAATCCTTCTATTCTAGACATTTATACCAGTGGTATCTTATTTCAGGGGTTGAATTGCACGCAAAAACTATTCGGGGAAAGGGTGTCCTATAGAGAGGTCCGGTACAATTTACTGGCAAGATGAAAGGGTCCACATTTGTGAGAGGGGGTGTCCTTACAAGAGGAAGGTCAATAATGCTGCACTATGCAACATCTTGCAATAGAGTTTTGCGAACTATAAACATTGCGACTGTGTGTTATCGCGATGCCCCAAACACACCTCACAGGGTCGGACGGGAAACACGCCCCACGTACAAATACCAAGCACAATACGACACAGTTTCTTGATAGAATGCAGCGCGTGGAAGACAAGATTACGCCCGGCCCATGCCATCCAGCAAACAACTCCCACCAGTTGACCACCAAAGCTACAACTACATAACATTATTACACGGGAAGTTACACAATACAGGGGAGCTGAGCTACATTATATGCACGGGGGGAGGATGCCGGTGTTTACACACAGGCTAAAGGTTATCTATTTTCCTTTATGTGTAAAAAACTAATGTTTTTCATTTTTTTTTTTCACCCCCCATTCACCGTGTCACACGAAAGTTTATCGAAGCGAGGGGAATAAGACACCACAGACCAGATAAAAACGTTATGACCGCACCCTTTTTTTTTTTGCCGTTCCCAGCGCGACTGAGCGAAAGGGACCGCGAAAACAAAGTATGAAATTTACGATTAGGTAGCAACAAGTTCTTCCGTTCGCCCCTACTAGGTATATTTTCCCCTCTAGCTCTCGTACTGGTTATGGATTTGACATGCAACTAGGGCCATTCACAAAGGATATGTGAATAGCGTGTCCGCTACTATCTTTTTTTCCCAATCCCGGTTTTGTTTTGCCCCTCGATTACCACCTAGAGCAGATGGCGCAAACTTCCGGGGAGGAGTGGGTGCTGCTGAAACCCCCCTTAATAGAAACCTCACAAGCTTGAAGTCCCTTATGATGACGATCATGTGTGTTCCCGGCCTACCCACCTACGGTTTTCACCTCCTGTTTCTCCTTACTTTTTCTCTCCTTTCTGCTATTGTCTTCTTTCCTTTCCCCCTCCCCCCCTTTCCGTTGGTGGTCTCGCTCCTATTTGGGAGAACCGTTTCTTTCTCATGTTTTGCTTTTCCTTCTCCTCTCTCCCCCCCCCCCCACGCCCTCCCTCTTTTCCCTTTTTCGTTTCTTTCTTCCTTCTCCCTTTTTCCTCTTCCCCCGCTTTTGCTCCTCCCCTCTCCTTTCCCTTTTTCCCTCTTCCCCTTTTCTTTCCTTCCTTCCCTTTCCTTCTCTTCTCCTCTCCATCGTTCTTTTTTCTTTTCTCCCCTCCCCTCCTTTTCCCGGGGTGCTCTTCTTTTTTCCCTTGCGCCATTGGCATACACTGTGTCTGAGGAAATTTCCCTCAATAGAAACTCACAAGCTTGATGTAGTGAGTCACTAATGAGCAGCATATGGTGTGGTAGGTCAGGCTGCTTGGCTTGTCAAGCAATGAGGACCAAATAATCTGCAGCAGAGAAGATGGTCGTAGCCTTATCTAGAAAGGAAAAGGGTGCACCTATAACGGAGGTTGGGGAGACGGCCACTTACATGAAATATCATCACTTCTTTGCAAACACACAACTTGTATCCAAAATATCCAGCAAGCAGCAGGAAAAACTCTCCTTAGGGAGGAAAAAATTTTGCTCTCTGTTTACACCACTAACCTCCCGTCTGTACACCCCTCCCCTGTCTCAGCTCCTTGAAACTAGCATAAGCTCTACACTCCTTTCTCTTCTGTTCCGCTCATGCTAGCTTCTCCAGTCACCAGCTGATCAGGTGCACGCACGGCGTGCGGCTGGCGGCACCAATCGACTATATTCCCGAGGCCATGTTGTCGTGTTTATCCTTTCGATGCGTCGCTCGGTTTGGCGTCGTCGAAGAAGGACGCCGTTTCGAAAAACAGAGCTCACAGAAGACTACCGATACTCCACTGTTTGCCCCGGCCTCCCATGACAGGAAAGAGGCGTTATGGCCCTCGGTCATTATGAGACCGACGCCAAACCCGGCACATCCATACCGTCCCGTTTCGCCTATCACGACTCTCGCCCCGACACACCCCCCCCCCCCCCCCCCCCTTTCGATTGTCTCTCTTCGGCGGCATCTCGCTCCTTTCTTAGCAACACGCCCAGATGATGACCTCCAGAAACAATGCCGCTGATTGAAGCTCTGGACTTTCTCCCCCGGTCGGCCATCGTGGCCGGCGAGATAGTCAAACTTATAGAGGCTTTCGATCTTCAAGATCACAGATTTTTTTTGTATTTAGAGCCTGGCTAAGGATATTACTTTTGTCGACAATGCTTCCTCTTCACGAGTCACTCGTATGACGCTAATACGTGGATCGGGAATATTTGTGATGTCACGAAATATCATCATAACCGAACACACTGACATGCGCAAGACCGATTCCAGCAAGGCCTGACTACAACAGCCGTCATAGGAAATAATTTTACGGAGTTAGAAATTTACTTCCTGGATACCCGGAAGTCCCATTAGCTTCCCAACATTGAAACTTTCGGCGGGAAAATTCCAATTGGAGCGCACCAAGAGAACTGTTCGACCATAGCGGGTTCTTCGGGCTTTATATTAGCTGATACAAATAAGGGCCGTGTCTGACGAGCGTTTTTTGGATGGACCTTGTTGCCACAGGGCACTAGGAGGCAAGGAGTAGTAAGAAATGGACGCGGACGGAGCGAGTGAGGCGTAGGAGCAGGTGAGTGCTTGTGCGACTCTAGTGATCAGACCCGGCTTACTGATCAGCAACGATCGTGTGCACAAACCTTCACGTCATACGGGGGTAAAGGAGCTCGGTCCCTTCCACATTATGGTATATATAATACCGTACTCGGGAGACTAAAAATGACGTGTTTCGTCAGCTATCATAATGTCCGGCATAGTATCGCACTTCCCCGACTGATAACTTCCGTCTTACAGAGCTCGTCGTAGAATGTCAGACGCTGGCCAATAGTACCCACCATTTACGATTGGCTTGGACTGATGGGCCCTACGAATGGCTTTTCGTGGATTTGGATGTCGGTTTGTAAATATAGAATGGGCAGTTGGATGTAGCTCAGCAGTAGGCCCATTTTTGACACAAATGTATGCGCACATTGCCACTGATTATGTCCTTCAGCGGTGAGGTATAGATGGACCTCTGTGGATGCCTAACGTTAGTAGACCTTCACCACCTCCTACATTAACGGCCGGGGCTTACTGTAGCAGCGGGCACCACAAGTTCTCATATATGTCGCCACTCTAGCTCTTTCTGTAGCTGTAGTTTCACTACGTCATGAAACGGT